CCATGAGACATTTTTATTGCATGTTGGAATGTTCGATTTTCCTAAGCGGTAAATGTATTTATTTAGAAGCTGTATAGGTTACAGTTTTAGTAGTATCTAGCTTTAATTTCGACCGTGGACCGTACTAGCTGTGTCAGCGACTTCGTCCGCGTAGAAATAGTCTAAGTTAGTCAAATAGTCTAGTTATTTTGGACAACACAATTTAGTTTTACAAATCGCCACATCTTGATCGCTGTTACCATGACGATGGTCGCGTCCCGTCATTCTTGCTACTTAATAGATTTCAAAAGGAATCATTCTTTCATACCTAATTTCTTGGGTATCGTAGCGTACGCAACGATATCCCCAAAAGATGACGAGTTTTCCTCGTTTTCACATTTTCGCTGTTTCTTTGTCCTATAAGTTGCATCGCGATGTTTTATAGTTTTATATATTAGTAAAGATGCTAATTAAAACTATGTTCCTGAATCGAAAATTTGACGTCACAAGTATTCTGCTTTCTAAGAATCTTCGTTATCCAGTCAGGGTGGTGCTAAGGAACTCACAATCTTGTTCAAAAGTGTGGTGTGATTTCGATTTCAATGTACTATTACATAATTAAATAGTGGCGTTTCGCACGCAACGGCGTTTGATTAACTCGCATATCTTATGAATTCTAATTTCATAAAAGTATGATACATTTTAGTTATTTAGATAAATAATTACATCTATTTGAGATAGGTAATTCGGAATGGGTTTTTCTCGAACTTGCATAATATTAATATGTGCGCTTGTGTGCGCACGCGCGTTGTGTCATGTGTGTGAGAGAGTGAGTAAAATCCCGTATCTCATGTGGGGTATGCAAATTTATCGTTTTTATTAACGTGTAAATAGTTGATCAGACTTGTGTTCTGCTCGACGAAAACTATTCTGTTTCCCCAGATATAGAATCCGGCACTTCTAAAGAAGTGTTAAATAAAGCTACAAAAGTGATAACTACTTTTGTCTTTGTATATTGGCAAATCCACAGGTTGAAACCGAAACGCGACTAAGCTTACGGCTTTTTCATTTGTTCGTGACCTGGACAGAATTCTACAATCAACACCAATTTAATATCCAGATACTGTCTATTAAATAAAACACTTTAACGGTTTAAAACGCGATATTTAAAAATATTTTTACCTTCCCCCGTGTCTTCCCGTGACCACGGCTGCTGCAAAGCATCCGAAACGTCGGGCCGAAGTTAAAAATCATTTTCAAATAAGTTTAACTAATATATCGCGTTTTAAACCGTTGAAGTATTTTATTCAAATGTGTAGGTACTACTCGCGTAAACTATAGACATTATTTACTGTCTATTATCTTAAGAAGTAAATCAACCACTGAAAAGTAACAAAACCAAATGAATTTCATAAAGAAGCACTCTGCTAACAGCTCTCAAATGTGGCGACCTGCTTCAAATCGAGGTCTATTTCTGTTTACATTTCTAGTTTGTGTTTAACATCGGTTACCCCGTCAATTATCAACCTTACAATTGAAGTCTGGCGCTCGCTTATGCAATTAAATATTTATTACCACTTATACTGACCCCATTTCTGGAAATATGTTTCTCTAGTAATTCTGACGTGTGATATGCACGGTTAATCTGTGCTTACAGCGAGAGGATAGTTGTTTATAATAGAGGACAGGACATTTCACTTAATGTAAGTTGAAATATCGCAGCCATGTAACATCTAACAAGCTGCGCTGTTGATGATGTTGCCCGTGTATTATCCAGATTTCTAAAAGAATCTCTCTAAATTCATGTTGAACCCGAAGGAGATCGAACCCGAATCAAAGGATTGGGATTCGGTCAACTGTCTTCTAAACTTAAAGTGGAAGTCACGAATGTATTAATTGTTTTCTATAATACGGAAAACCCTTATGGGGCAAAGGCGCACGTTAAGTTACATTGATCGGTTCTTTCACAGGAAGGTAGTTCATCAACTGTGCCCTGCCCGACCTAAAGAAATGTTTCTCTGGGCTTTAGATCCATGACCGTACACGCTTAACGCAATACTCACTACGTTTAACCATTTGGCTACAGAGGCGGTTACTATTAACATATTTTCGTAATTATTGAATTTAGGCTTTCTTTTTGAAAAGATGGTGATTTCTTTCGTCATTTTCCTGGTTCCACTATTTAAATAAAACACTTCAACGGTTTAAAACGTTATATATATTAGTTAAACTTATTTGAAAATTAAATTAACTACGGCCCGTCGTTACGGATGCTTTGCGTGGTCACGGGGAGATTTACGCACCCCATGACCACAGCTGCTGCAAAGTATAAATAATAAGTTTAACTAATAGATATCGCGTTTTAAACCGTTAAAGTGTTTTATTTTAATGTATACTTGCGTAAACTACAGACAGTTTAGTTCCACTATTTCACAACACGCAAAGTTCTGGCCGAGCAGAAGTAAAAACAATTATAGCAAAGCCGTCGTATAATGGTGTCGCTTATTCGAATATGAACGTTATCTTGATCCTATGGAGAAGTGTGGGTTCCGAGAAACAGCGGTTCGAGACAGACAGCGCGTCGCCGGATTACAATGGGCTCGGATGGTTTTTTTGTCGAAGGTAAGACGAGTCGACCATGAGACGTTAGAAAAAACGCCCCAGACACCATTCAATAGCTCTGTTGGGTTGCTTCGCCGCTTTGATCTGTTGCGTTTAGGTACCTGAGTCTTGACGTCTAACGGAATGCTAAAAAGAGTTGGGGCCCAAATTAAAACATTGCTCGATAGAAAATTATCTCATGATACGCTTATATAAATAAAAATTGGTTTTAGATTTAAAGAAATTTACGATTTGAACCGACATCCACAGCTACCGCGTCCTACACGTCATCGTTGATTTCTTCAACCTATTGATATAATTCGCGCAATGTAATTTCAACTTAAAAAATTTATAGAACTTAAATACGTTTTTATTAATATTTCAAGGTCACGTATGGACCACGGCTGCTGCAAGCATCATCCGTAGTTAAAATATATTCCAAATAAGTTACATTATGCGTTTAAAACACTTTTAAGTGTTTTATTTAATTGTATAATCAGGTAAAATACAAACATTTATATCAAGGTGTTACTTAGTTTTTAACTACGTTTGTACTCTTTAGTGTCACTGATTAGTATTTAAATTAAATCTAATTTAATTTCAACAAATAATATCTTTACGTGTATTTTTGTTGCCAATATTAAAATAAAATTTGCTGTCTTCAGTTCTACTTAATAAGTGGTGATAGTTTATCATTCTGCTTATGTATAGGCGCCCTTGTGTCTTTACTTAGTTGCCTTTGACGCTTTGCAAGATTGTTGCTATCTAGCGAATAATATTTAATACGTTCAGAGTCGTAATTCCATGAAATAGTTCTTGCCTTCAATTACTTTCTTTGTCATCCAATTTCGTTAAATTACTAATACGGCAATTAGCGACCCGTCTACGGGGATTCCAAGCATAGTTGACGCGCATAAAGTACTTGAAACGTTCAATTAAAGGATTTATGGCGGTGTAATAATATCAGTGTAAGAGAGTCTATCGTTACCGGTTTTTGTATTGACTAATGCTGTACATCATTGTCGTTAGGACCGGTCGGGCTCGAGTAGACGGTATCCCTTCCACGACCCCTAAGGCTCGATCCACACTGGGCACATAGTCATATATCAAATACTGTCTGTAGTTTACACGACTTATTTATTTGAAAATTTTCTTAAAAATCGACCGCCTCTGTAGCCAAATGCTTAAACTAGCATTGCGTTAAGCTCGAGACGACCTGGGTTTGAATTTCAGGGAAACACAAAATTGTTTCGGCCAGTCAGGACACAGAAGTCTGATCAACTACTTGCCTGTTAAAGAACGGATCAGTGAAACGGACATAGAAATGTGTTTGCCCCATGCCCCACGAGTGGAAACGGGATTTCACACATATTTAAAATATTATATCTGTGATCTGATAAAAAAACTTTAGTGTAGAATTGTCGCCAGTGTGGTAAAGCCCTTAGCGGGACGCACGTCGTACTTGCAACTTGCACCATGTGACTCGTACGCATGCTTTGAACTTACATTTCATACAAAAAGATAGCAGAAGCTCGCTCTTAACTATATGACGAGTTAATAAGCAATTAGACGGAGTGTCTACGACCTCGTTTCGAGCAAATAATTAGTCATCGTTCGGTTATTCTTGTGATCTTTATTGGTTCGCAGACGGAATATGTGGATTAGTTTCACGTTAATTGTGTAATGAGTACATGAAAATTAATTGCTAATTGTCGAGGTTTCATTCGTATTTTTCGCGAGAAAGTTGACAATTTCTTTCGCACTATTTGCAAATTCTTAAATAATCGATAGCGTGCTAACACGTCTTCCTTTATATTCATTAGATGTATGTTGACGGGCTTGTTGGTGTAATGCCCGTTGATTATTAGCAATCAACGTTGCGTAGGTCCGATCCCCACCGGGTCCATGATTTTACTAATCAATTTATAATTATTCTGAAACACGGAGTTGTCTCATGGAGTTTGTCTGAAAATCTGAATATTCAATGTTTGGTAGAAAACCACTCCCTCAGATGAAAAAGCCGTGAAGTTTATGTGTTATGTGGTCTGGCCTGGGTATTTCATGTCCAATCAAGTAAATGCCATGCTTGCCTGTTCTCCTTTATCTTAACAAAACTTTAAAAAAATAGTCATTTGGCTTACCTACTATATTTATATAGGTTTATATATGGAACATCTCATACAACATACATATCTTATTATTTAACACAAGAGGTATCTATGTCCATATTTATATACGTTTAGTTTAATTTCGAAGATATTCTTTTTATTCGAATATTTTAAATTGTTATAATCTACGACACGGGCAAGACTTGAACCGGCATGCAGAGCGATCCGATTTATAATCGATGTTTGATTCATATAGTAAAATAATACGTGAAAAGTATTAAAGTTTTCAGATAAAGAACCCTTTATTTTCAGGTAAATCACAAACGCGACGCCGCGCCTCCGTTCGAGGTCAACGGAATAAGAGAAGTAAGTTATTTATGAATAGTTTCATAGAATATTGGAAACACGACAACGATTAGCATATTTTCATCTATTTAGTGTGCATGCGATCACGTTATCAATTAATACACTGCTAGTCATTGATGAAACTCTCTCTTATTACTTTTTATGACGTTAACACTGTTTCAGTTTTTACTTATAGACTTTACCTGAAATTAAATACTTTCAACGGTTTAAGACGCCAAATATATTAGTATACATTATTTTTACATCCCTCACTGAACACTGCTGTTTCATAGCAAAGATTTGACGTCGGTCGTAGTTAAATTTATAAAAATAAATTAACTAATATATATGGCGTCTTAAATATTCATATCCAAAATATGTTTATATTATTTTTATTTAGGGTGAAAAAAAAGCAACACAATTACAAACATTCTGTATCCTGCACGACAGATGTATTGTTATTCACCGTGTTCCGAACCCATACACGTGTACCACACTTCGCGAAACTATATTTAGTTAGAGAGGCGTAATTAATAATTATTAAAGGTCTACAAAAAAAATATAGGAAAATTAAAATAATATTTTTTACGAATATACATACAAAATCAGTTAATTTATACTAATCTAGATTTAAGTATTCTTTAATGAAACGTGCTTGTCTTTAAGACTATATTAAATAAAATCCGCTTTCGGGAAATTGCCATTACCATTAATGAACATTACATACTTCTATGCGAATTTAGCTCAATTTTAAAAATGTTGTCAGAGAAGATTTAAGGACGCAGCTGTCTAAACTTTCTCTGTGTATAAAATACTGTCATATCTTAGAAATCATTGTTGCGTGTGAATAGCGTGGAACCTAAGGAGATAAAGAAACAGAGCATTGAAGCCGCGACTCTCAGCGTGCGTTTAAACGCGAGGCATAAAAAAACAAACAACACAAAACAGAGTAGACCTCTGTATTGTGACTCAAGTTAGCTTTAGGAAATATGGAATCAAATTTCGAACACTATAGTATTTATATATTTTAAAATAAATATAATCACGATAGACAAACATAACTATAAGCCCAACTCCCTCGATAATAAGAGTTAGTTTTAATTGGCATTTTGTATTAACGATGTTCAATGTTGATTCGTATCAGGCTGCACGCGAGCTGATCGGTCTCAATTCAACGGGAACCTTATAAAGATATTCAGTGGAGAATTCGAGAGGGCACGATCCGATCGTGTTGGGGACGCTTCCGACCCACGAGCCGTCGCTGATTGGAAATTTAAGGAACTGGATAGAGATAGAAGCGGCACCTTGCAGAAGTCAGAATATCGGGGACTGAGAAGGCTCATCAAGAAGGTAAGATCTATATAGATTTTTACGATAGAAAAGGTCACTCGATGGAAGGTGAAATATAACATTAACTAGCTACGCTGTCGACCTACTTCGGCTTAGGATATTCGGAAATCCAAAGACTGACACACGCGATTAAACTTCGCGACCTTTTCACCTTTCCACCCATTTGATATCCAGATTTCCAGACGAAGATAGCCTAGTAGTAATTTATCATGATTTCCTGGTATTTGAATCTAGAATTATCGCGATATCACAATTGAAACATACTGATTAAACCACGGACGAGGTCGAATAAATAATAATGTTTTATAAAATTTTATAGACTTGTAACTATTAATTTCAAAAGAAAACTAACTATTTACCTAAAGATCAAGCAGACTGGTTAAAACGAGGAAGCTAACTTATTGCAAGTTTGGACAATATATTTCACTTAATTTTTGAATAATCTACGAAAACACTATCACAACAAAACATCTGGCTTCTCAAGCGGACCTTCTGAATTTACATGATAAAGCTGTATGAATTTGACAGTCGATTTGGGTCACATTTAAATAAAGGACAATTGCTTTATTCTGCAGTAATTTATGGATCAGGTCATCGGGAAAATGAAAAATGTATAAACAGTATCGTACAGTATAATTCGGTACAGTGCAAATATGCAGTAGGTATCTACTTCTTATGACCGCCTCTGTAGCCAAGCGGTTAAACGGCCTAGCATTGCGTTAAGAGCGAGAGGTCCTGCGTTCGAATACCAGGGAAACATACAATTGTTTCGGTCAGGCAGGGCACAGACGTCTGATCCACTACTTGCCTGTTAAAGAACGGATCAGTGAAACGGACTCAGAAATGTGATCGCCCCATGCCCCACGAAGGGGAAACGGGATTTCACTTACTTATCTACTTCTTATGCTATTTAAGTTATAGTTGGAGTTTTGTCACAACCCAAAATTATGTTAATAATTTTTTTGTAATTAATCATCGATTTTTAATTCATATAGTGCCACCACGTGAAAAATATAGTTTTCAAACGTTAATCTGACATGAATAACATTTTTTCGCTATCTGTCAAAGGTGGTGAAACCGAAGAGATGCGCACGCGCTTGGGCCCGTGGTTGCGATGGTGATGGGGATGGGGAAATTGCTCGTGCTGAATGGGCCGGTTGTCTCCTAACAATGCCGGAACCACCAGCTCCGGACTGTGAGTACCTTAATCTGCATTTACAAGCTGTGACAGTATCTACATAGATACATGATAGCAGGCAATAGAATGTATATAGATAAATATATTGGTGTACTACTTGGGTTTGAACTCTCGACCTATCATAATTTCACCCGTACCTAATTCTATCAAGAAATAATGACAATTTCTTAGTTTAGGGACCTAGGTATTTGTTGCTGTCTCTTTCAATTTATGTAACTGTTTTGAAACGTTAAAATTGTTAATAAATTAAGCCAACATCTATCGCTTGAATAAGAAGTGTGGTCCAGTGGTAGGTGAGCAATACGTGCATGAGGTCAGGAGTTCCAACGTCCATAGTGCCCCAAAATACTTATGTATGTACATTCTAGATGATTATTTTGCTTTTAAGAAAACATAGTAAGCTCTGCCAAATTGCTTATCTTAGAATAAAAATGTGTCCAAAAATTGTCTCGTGGTAGACGAAGGCTTTTATACCCTCATAGATTAATCGGTTTCAATATTCTATATATGGCCGTTAGATCTAGAAGAGCACAACTGATTCCGACTAAATTATTTATATTTTTACAGTCAAAAATAATAGACATATTTAGTTAAAATGTTAATCACAATAGATTACTTGTGAAAATTTTTATTTATTTGAACAAATTAAGCTTTTTGTTGTTAGTAACTTTGCCAAAATTAATCGTGCATTTTATACGCTGTTATTGAAAATCACTTTTCTTACGTTATTGACTTATTTCTTTTGTGTTCATATACGTGGTCGAGCATGCCAATGTGTGTGCAAACATAATAATAATATATAGTCTCTCTCCGTTTCTTCATGTCGTTGAATGCAGACGACGACAGCGGCCCAGAGACTGAGCCAGATTATGAAGAGGAACCGCCTCCGGATCCAAGTGCAGGTTTCACATATATCCTTATCATTAGTAACAAAAACTCCAAAATTTAGAGTATTTGTCTCTAAAATACCACTAAAATAAAATATGTTCATTGTCTCTCTGTTAATAATAGAATTGCAACTTGTATTGAGGTTATTGCAGCAAAATAAGAATAACTTGTGTCAGAGCAGCCTCGGTACATTACATTAAATGATTATAATTATGTTCATTAAAGTTTGTCTGCTAAAGATGTGTGTGTATTCATGTATACGTAACTAAGTGTTTATGCGTGTGTAATGTGTATTTGTAAAAAGTGAATTGAAAAATGTAAAATACCCAAGCCATAACAAACATGCTCTGTAGACCAATTTCGTCATTGGATAATTGGAAATTCACAGACTGAAAACAAAACGGGGATTTATATTTTACGACTTTCCAGTTGTGGACAGTGATCCATCACCCGAATGATATTCCATCCATTTTATGACCGAATCTAACGCCTCGAGAATAGAGCTTTACGATCCCATTGAAATTATGTCCTGGTAAGAATCGAACCTATGTATATATATTTGAATAAGATATAATAATAATTCCAGTGTTACCAGGAATAATGCGAAACTCCTTCGCGCCAGAAGGCTCTGTCACACGAGAAGACGAAGCGAACGACTGTTTAACTGACCGACAGGCTGTGTTAGATGAACAGGTACTTCAATTCATTACTTTGTTTTGTACTTAAAATAAACTTAAGGTATGCTTGCGGTAACTTGTTTAAATCTAGCTATTTATTTAGTGTATCATCTCTGCAATGCTGCGATTTGTCAATAAAAAAAATTAAAATATCCAAAAGCTTGAACTTTGAACTGGCGAATTTTACTTATATATAATCGTATTTGTGTATTAGGTATTATCTGTAGTTTACGCGACATAAAAGGCAAAATATATTACCTGTGGACACGGATACAGATAATACTTTTTAAATGAAACACTTTTAACGAGAAATATTTAACATAACTTATTATTAATCCTAAAAGTTTCGAGCCTTGCACATCCGTGACCATGGCCTATATATTTTCCGTTTTAAACAGTTAAATGTGTTTTAAAATATGTTAAGTATATGTTGGATTTAAAATTCAAAGGTTACCAATTGAAATTAGCTCGACGCCTGTATATTTATATTATAAGTTGTGCAATTAGAGAAATGCTGTGCCGTTGCGATGTTTATTTCTGTGTATCGACAAGCAAAACCTTTATATGAACATGTATTCTTGGATGAAATGTTATCAAATTTGAATAAAACACTTTAACAGTTTAAACGCGATATATATATATTAGTTAAACTTGTTTAAAAATATTTTAACTACGGCCAGACGTTTCGGATGCTTGGCAGCCGTGGTCAATGGGGAGACTAAAGATGGAGGGTGTCTCTGTCGCCAAAGTAAAAAACTGACACGCTAGCGCCATCTGTTCCGTCGAAGTTGGAAATTGATCATAGTCAAAATCATATTCAAAGTTAAACTAACATGTATCGCGTTTTAAACTGTTAAAGTATGTCTTTTAAATGTGTACTACTCGCCTGAACTACAGACAGTATTTAACTAAATTAATCCTCCAATATTTCGTAATAGAAAGCGGGTAGTGCTGTATTATACGTGCCGGAATGTATGGGCGACGGTAGATACGCGAGGGCGCAGTGCTATAGATCTACCGGGTACTGTTGGTGCGTGCACCAGGACACTGGAAAGCCGATACCCGGCTCCTCGGTGAAGGACCGGAAGCCGGATTGCGATTCCGCGCCTCAACACGCCAGCCCTATGCGAGGTAATTTTTTTCAAGTTTATCTCAAACCAACTAATTTAATTATGCTTCCAGACAGTCTGAATATGTTTCTGAAACATTATAAATTCGAACCATTGACCTGTTGTGATTAGACCAAAGAATTCGTCGAAAATTTGATAGCCACCATAGTGGTAGTAAACTGGCTTTGGTCGATTTAAAATTATATATTTGTTGTGAAATACTGAGAGGAAATATTCATAGAATCTCTAATCATTTTCAGGTTGTCCCGAGCCAATGAAATCGACCTTTCTGCGAGATTTGATGAGCTTCTTCATATCGAAAATGACGACTTCGATTAATGGAACTGGTCCTGGGTAAGACACAGACACACATTACATAGTTGTACATACAATAACGATGTTCAATAGTAGAGACAAAATAGAGGTCTTAAACTATTAAAATTTAAGTAAAAAGTGCTTAGAACTTCTAAGCAGCTACTTTCAAACGACCATTCAACAAAAACTCACAGCTTTATTAGTTAAAAACAATAACCAACTTTCACTTCTTAATACAGCCGTTGTTAACGAACGAAACACTTCAAAAAGAACGGGATTATAGAATTCTTTTAAACCTTTTTATCGCATTAAGATTTCTAAAAGGTTATAAGTATATTATGGCATAGTGAATACAAGGATTTAAATATACCAACTGCGCCTGCGACTTTGTCCGCATAGAATAGTTATTTTGGGCATTAAAATTTGTTTTTGCAAACGTCCTAATCTTTATAAATTACAGCTGATATCCAGCGTGATGTTTTATAGCCTAAATCGTTCCTCGATAAATGCTTTAAGTAACACAAAAATATGTTTTCAAACGCAACAAGTAGTTCCTGAGATTGGCGAGATTGGAGATGTCCAATAGTGATGTAAACACAATATGTGTGAAATATGTTAAGTATTTAAAATGATACAAAATTATATATACTTCATAGCGTCACATTTATCTTCCGATTGTAGATAAAAAGTTAAAAGATTGTTTATTATTTTTGTTTAAGAGACAATAAAGTAATGCTCTCTAATAAAGGTTAATTGACAAATTTAATTAAGACGGCCAACAGCTCGAAAGCCCAAACATTTTTTCACTGTGACAATAGCCTAAGTCAATTTAAAATTAAATAAAAAATAACAAAATTGCAATCTTAATTCTCAATATTTCAATGTAACATTGGAAGACACGAGGCTGTTCCATCACACAAAAAGCTTTTTTTAACTGCCTCAACAAAAAAAAAACGTTTATCGTCAAACATTTTTTTAAGTAACATTCGAGTACTTGACAATGTTCAATGTAATGTATATAATATGTAAGTACATGTCGCCTCATTTTTCACAAATAGGGACTTGTTCTATACGAGTTAGTTCTACAATAATTCAACAAATTACAGGGAGATGGTAAAATGGGGTGCTTCCAAGGAAGAACAGGCAGCTACGTGGACCTATGTAATGTTAGACAAGGACAAGAACAAAGCTCTGGAGAGGCGTGAATGGAAATCGTTCCATCAGTTGATATCATCTGTGGACCAGCTGAGGAGGTGTGGCCGCAAACTGCCGCGATACTGTGACGTTAATCATGACGCAAAAATCAGTATTACCGAATGGATGGCCTGTCTTGAGGTGTTGCAGGCTTCACGTGGATCGACTAGTGAGTGTCTCTATTAATGGGCATGGGCATACCCTCCTGCCATAAAAATATAACAAGAGTAGAACATTTTTAAACGGTTTAGAACGCGAAATGTATTATCAGTCCTCGAGACCATGCTGCAAAGCATCCGAAACGGCCGTAGTTAAAGTAAATTATAAATAAGCTCACTAATATATTTTGCGTTTTAAACCGTTACAAAGTGTTTTAGTGTGTAAAGAAGTAAACTATTTTAATCCGAAACTGAAATTTTATTGTCTCTGACGTACTTGACGGATACATGTAAATGTAGTGATGGCAGGGCAAAAGTAGTTTGTATTTTTTTAAAGCCACCAATTCGGCTATCCTATAGAAAACGCTTTTAGGCTCGCTTCAAAACCTAATGACCTTAAATATTTTCAGCTGAAGCTCCAAAAGTACCATCGAATCCGAGGAGAAAAGGACCAAATCCACTAGAGTCGATCCTCAAAGCAGATGACTGACCCAGAACGTCGAATCTCAAATATTTATTTATTATAACCATATAGAAATAGGTGTAGAACCATATCACAAAAAAATAAAAAGCTAAAACCTATAAAAATTATTAAAAAACAAATTAAAACAAACAAAATGTTTGTTGAAAATGTAGTTACAACAAGTCACATAATTTTCTTTTATAGTCTTCAATGTGCATGATGGATGTATGTACAGTTAAATACTGTCTGTAGTTTACGCGAGTAGTACACATTTAAATGAAACACTTTAACGGTTTAAAACGCGATATATTTTAGTTAAACTTGTCTTCCCGTGACCACGGCTGCTGCAAAGCATCCGAAACGTCAGGCTGTAGTTAACAAACAATTTAAACTAAAATATATCGCGTTTTAAACCGTTAAGTGTTTCATTTAAATTATATGTACTAACTGTACCACAATCATAATTAGACCTTGTATAATTCTATTTTGTTGCAGGTTTAAGCTGTATTAGGAAACGTTAAAATGTTGACGATTAAACATGTAAACAAAACAAGTGTTATTGTAAAAAAATGGTTTTTATTTGTATAAAAAAAAGAACTTAAACTAAATTTTGTTCTACAAAACTCGGTGACTGATCCTAGAAGTATTTTTATATATTCAGAAGCGTAATTTATTGTAGATAATAATTCTAGGCTTTTCCTAGTCTTGTAACTTGTTTTAGTTAGTAACACTTGATGTTGTACGTAATAAGAATAACAGACAAACGAATTCAGCAGACGAGTTTTAATGAAACAAAATTTACAGTGGCACGTAGTTGCAACCTCGATGTTCGTGTATAAATGCCATTCGAGGGTTGGAACCACCAAGTCCTCAGAAAATATGTAGCGAATCCTCACACAAAACTACCACGGGCAAAATCTCATTACAAGCGTTCAAATATTAAATGCAGGAAAATATATCGGCTTACTTTAAAGAGACATGCCCATTTTAGGCCACTAGCAGACAAGACTATGGGAACATATTTTTTAGTTTATTCATATGCAAAAATATCAATTTTAATAATAAATAGTGGTTAATTTTTTGACAAACTACATGTATGTACAATCAATCCATAGATTTCATCACTTTTGTGGATTTTGCGTAAGGATTCACTTCGACTGAGTACTCGAGTTAGCGAATAAAATGGAACTAAACATTTAGTTATTAAACTGGTACATTTCATTGTTACGTATAAAGTGGCAGAAAATGATTAGGAGAACCACATAAATACATGGACATGATTCCTGACTATAACAAATATGACTACAAAGCGATTTTCGTTACACTTTAAAACAAACGACTAATATTGTTACTACCTTTAGGGGCCACTCATAAACTATGACATTGTCTGACAAGGAGTTGGGAGGAGGCCTAAAAGTACGACGTCACATTATTTAAATATAAACTAAACTTTGTGTACTATAATTTCTAGGTGACATTTTAAAGCATGTGACGTCATGCTGGGGAAGGGGGGCGGGGGAACAGGTGAACTTGTGTCATTGGCGGCCCCTTAACATGAATAAGAACTATTTATAGGTTTAGAGTATATATGTAAGCACTATGTGATATTTTTCATTGTAACGGCTAAAATAAATAATTTAACAAACACTTACGTTACATTATTGTTCCTCTTTAGGACAACCGATTTTTTATACTCATCGACTGTCTCGGTGAGGATCTTTTGAAATATACTTTCGAATATTTGATTTTTCACGATTACTTCGTCCGTGTGAAGGGACGTCCATTCGGGTTCGCACCGGCGCCATTCGGCGAAGAGAATGTCGTCTATGTGGTCCGACCTTCGCGCACCGACTCCTGAAAGAAATGCAGTAACATCTTAAAAATAAGTTAAGATGAGAAATAGGATCTTTTTGAATCAGTAAAGCCATAAACCAGTACCGAATCCTATATTACTATCGCGGATATTTTTTAGATAATTCAAAGATGAATGATTCTTTTATACAATTTTTGGGTTCATGAACCGTTTACGCAACGTACGCAGAAACCCTCAAAGAATTTTCCCCTTTTTCCACATTTCCCTCTATTTCTTCGCTCCTATCGATCGAAGCCTGATGTTTTATAACCTAAAGCCTTTCTTAATAAATGCTTTAGCTTCAAAATATTAGTATAAATTTTCACTTACCGGATACAACAGTAGGCGGGACCCCGGTTAGCACCTCCTTGATCTCAAAGCTGGTCTTCGCCGCCAACATGTCAGCATCGAGCTTCTTCTTCGGCGGTAGATCATGACAGGTGTCCCAGAACTTATCGCCCTCCTCCTTAGTATGCCGATCTATCGTCTCTTGACAAAAGTCTTTGAGGAATGTGTCAAATAGATCCACGTCGTCTAACACTTGTGGCATCGTTTCCGTGACATAGCGGATGACCTTCTCCTTGTGTGCTTCATCTAGTGAGAATTTTCTGGGCTTCGGCGTTCGGGTTTCTGTAGGCGGCGTATACGGCGGCGGTGGCTTATCGGGGATCTCTCTCACCACGAGCAGTTGGCACTGTTGTTGCTCCAATGCTTTTATCTGGAATAAATACAAGCACCCTACATACATAAATTTAATTTTAAAAAAACAGACATACCTTCAATTCCGCGTACTCGGTGTGCGATACATATTACACACAAATAGTGTAAACAAAAATATACAACAAAAGAGTATATATTTGAAGAAAAGTAAGTTCCTCCAGATATATATCGTCTAATTAAGAATCACTGTCAACCAATTTTGACTTTGGAGATTCCAAATACTGATTGAAAACGAAACGTTGACTTATTCCATTTGTGGTTTGGTGGATGGTTCCTAACACCTTAATAATTTCTTTAAATAACATTCAAGTCCTGCTCGTGTCGTAAATTTTTTCCAATCTAAAATCGATTTTTAATTTATATAAGCCAGGACTTTAGTCAAAACCCTTTTAAATTTTACATCGTTTATCGTCGATATATTTTATAATTCATACCTCTCGCTCAATAGCCAATTGCTGCCGGCGCAATTCTTCTGCTTCGTTCTGTGCTGGAGTGACAATAGAAGACACACTTGGGTACAAAATTGGAGTACAAGTGCTGCTTGATTCTCCTGAAACATGCAGACAATTGTATTAAAGTTGGGATTTAACAAAAATTAAAACATCATATTACTTTATATTTAAATAGTGATATTTGTATATAATTTGCTTTTTGTATATATCTATACTAATATATGAAGCTGAAGAGTTTGTCTGTTTGTTTGTTTAAACACGCTAATCTCAGGAACTACGGATTCGTATTGAAAAAATATTTTTGTGTTGATTAGAGCATTTATCGAGAAAGGCTATAAAACATCGCCCTGTGACAAATACAAGCGAAGATGCAGCGAGAAATGTGAAAATTTTGGGAAAATTATTCATCATTATATTCAAGATAACCAAACAATATGTATGAAAGAATGATTCCTCCTTAAAATGATCTTAAAAAAAGATTGAACTTGCAAGAACGACGGGAAGGGACGCGACCGACGCCTTGGGTAAGCTTAAGTTTATATAAAGGGGTTGCAAAAACGAATTTGTATGCCCTAAATACATATTTTTAGCGGATGAAGTCGCTGACACAGTAGTATCAAAGAAAAACACTCACCTGGTGAAGAAGATGAAGAACTCTTTTGGTCGGGCCATGTGAGTTGATCCTGAGTTGATGCTTCTGTGACTGCTGCTTCACCGGCTGGCACTGGCAATGGCCCAGCTACAGATCGCCCACCTATCAAATCCTCCTTCCCTTTATCAGCCTGTGTCTCTACGGACGCCGTAGCTAGCTCACAAGAACAATCCCGATCAACTGACTCTACACTTCTATTCACTTTGTCATCATCCTTAACACTCTTTAACTCACTATCATTCCAGTCAAGTATTTGAACACCAATGTCCTTCACTTCACGAACATTAGCCTCCGGAGATTCTATAGGCGACTTATCATCAATAGCCAACCCCTTGTAATACTGATCAAACTCTTCAACCAGACTCCGTGCCGTAGAAGGACTACTGGATTGATTGTCTAATTCATGATTTTTCACTTGATCCATAAAACTTTTGATGACATCACCTTCTTTGGCGGTCGTTTTATTATTCGTAGTCGCCACTATGTTCCTTAGCGCCTCTTGATTCACTTCATACTGTTTTCCACTACTGAAGATTTCTGGAAGAGTCAAATTTTGGAATAATATGTTCAAATAGCCCCCATCTACCACGACAAAGTTTTCATCGTCGGTGGTAGTAGATTGGTTGACCGTTGTGGTGGATAGAATACTATCTCCAGTTTGAACGCATTTCTCGGCGCTTTCGCTTTGGACTACTGACTTCAGTGCGCAGACTGGAGTGATAGATTTTGGACGAGATGTGGTGCTCTCCTCGCATCCGCTACTTGACAAATCGAAACATTTCAGAGGTGCCGTATTTCTGTCTGCTGATGTGCTTCTCTTCAATTTTCGTTTTTCCATTATTATCTGTTCCACGTCTACGTGGTTATTGAATTTCAGTTCTATGTTCCTCTTCGTTTTCATTAGAGCTACCTTACGCTTCTCAGACAGTGTTAGTAAAGCTTTCCGCATGCGTTGCATTTCACCACATTCGTGTTGCAATTTTAGTAAGGCACCTCGTTGCTTCTTCTTCAAAGTGGAGATGTCGGTGTTATCTTGTCTCTTGCGGTTCTCTAGCCAGAGCAGTTGAGATTTTGTGAAATCCTTTAACGCATCTTCACGCATTTTCAGTACAAACAAGAGATTCTTCGCTCGACGTTGCTCATCGCGTATGAGTAGATTGAGCTGAAAAAAAGATTTTTATTCAGTAATTTAAAATCATACAAAAAATGCCAGATTGTTTAGTGATAAATGTTATGAGACAAACATTGTTTAAGATTTTAAAGAAAAACACTCACCAGACAAAGACTCTTTGAGGCTATTGTCTCACAATCGTCAACAATATGAGGGTTTTCAAATTTCGAGAAAAATGAATCGTACTCCAACTTCTTTAAATCATATGTGTTGTTGACAAGGTCGTCCACATTACTCTGGGTTAACCTCTTGTCAGATAGAGAACAATTTTCTAAATACTGCAATGATTCAAAGAAGGAATCAATGAAATTCAATTCCCGTTGAAATTGTTCATTGATATAATCATTTGGCAGCAGACTATTGTCAGCATTTATTGTACTAATTAAATCAGATGGTTTCATTAAGTTATTCCTGTCGATGTTCTTTAAGGAATTAGATGATGGATTAACTTGCACATGTGTGTTTTGGTGACTATTGCTCTTATTGATTTCTTCATCATTTAATTTATCTATGTTTTCACTTTCATTCCTGTCTTTAAGTTCTTTTTTGTACACAGATATCACATTCATCGGGTATGCGACAGCAGCAGGGCTTAAATCCATATCAATTTTATTTTCAACTAATTGAAAATTTATTTTCTGTTGTGTTGTATATGTCAATGTTGCACTGCTGATAATGTAAGATGTGCTTTTGTGAAGACATGTTTTATTAAACATCTTCTGTTTTTCTTTAGGGGTTACACTAAATGAAGGGACTCTTAGATTAGGTAAAGACTGACTACAGAAATTGACTAAATTCTCTTTGGATTCTTCGCATTTATCTTTAATTAATGTTACATTTGGTATTTCTAGATTATCAAATGTAATTTTGTCTTGTGCATAACTTGCACTTGTTTGACTAATTTCCTTTGGATCGTGTTCAGTTTCTGTGATTTGATCTATTGTTTTTAGAGATTCGGTGCCCACACTCTTGTCATTGTATATGTTAATACCTTCTATGTCTGTACTACAGTCAACCATGTTCTTTTTGATTTCTGTCTCAACTTTTAAAATCTGATCTGTCAATTCACGGCTTTCAAATTCCTTTTCTAGAGGTACATGTATAATATTGAGTGGCTTTTTCCTTTCACTCAGTTCTTTTAGTAAATTATTATTTTTTAACCTGCCATGCTCAGGTGACGTTTTGTGAATCTTCTCTTTAGATGTAACTCTTCTTGACATCGGGCTCTTGCATTCCTCTTTCAATTTATTTTTAATAATTTGGATTTCTTTTCCGCTATCAGTTGGAGTTATTATTTTCTTGGTCATGGCTGTTTTAGTTGGTGCATTTGTACTCCTAATGTATCGCAGTGATTCTAAAAATCATACATATAAAAACACAATAAATTCCAACTTACTTATTTTGATACATATATACAGATGTATATAGGATAATACAGAAATAATACAATGACTTAAGGCAAATTAAATCATTTAATCATCAACGATTGTTTTGTCAATTTACCATATTCATTCATGCCACATACCTTTTCCCTTTGAAACAGGATCATTCTCTTTTGTTTGCTTAGTTCTAATATTGGCAGCACTTGCATTATTTTTACTATAATTATAACTATAAGCTTTAATATTTTGCATAGTATCCTGAGGAGCTAAAAGTTAAAAAAAAAATCATCTATATTTCTAGAAATATCGTTAATTATATTATTTGTAGTCAAATACACTGCTTTTTTTTAGTTATCACTGACATTGATACTATAAATGAATATAAACTGTTTGATCTTACTATAAATCTAGAAATATTTAAAATTAGTGGACTAGAAATTTGATATATTTACATTTTGTTGTATTTGACAGCCTAGATGTTGTTCGTTGTGAGGACAATTTTTGGTCTTTCATTCCAACCTCGACAGCTTTGCCCAACACTTTTGAATAAGAACTTTTAACTTCACGAGCTAAAATATTATTTATCATAAATACGTGAACAGTACAAAGAATATTGAAATGACCTGAGCCAAAATTAACCAGAAAATTTACAGATTAAGTGAAAGGAAGCGTCTTTACTTTTAGCGCTTAATTGCAGAACTTTAGCTAATTTACAGCCTCTATATTATTCAACAGTAAAGTTTGGAATAAGCAACGAGATGATACATACGCAAAGATTTCAATAAGAAATAGTGTGAGACAATGTGACATATGAAACAGCAAAGTAGTTAAAGCTAGCAACAGAAAAGCTTTTGGTACCATAATAATTTTGATTTATGCATATAAAATGTGCCAACAAATATTCAATACATATACATACAGAATTTGGGATGCAAACTCTTTTCTTCATCTTCTTCAATTGTGACAAACTTCCTCTTAGAATAGGCAGTAGTTGCCATCTTTGGAAGACTTGCAACGTTGGCCTTTAATGATCGTGTAGTCTCTATGAGAGGTTCTTCAATTGCAACAAACCGTCGCAACCTAGGTTCCAGTACATAATTGTTTTTGGACCATTTCTCTGTAATGTATATACAATAATATGATTGTTACAAGGTTTAAATCTTCTTTATACCTAGTCTAAAATTATTACAAAGGAACATTGATGGAACTAGATTAGATTAGTATAAAACACATAAAGCCATGTTAAATTCAAATGTTGTATTCTCTTGATTATTACTCATATACTGAACATTCGCCTGCCCTGTTATGTATATAACATACAACAGTGCAGGATAAAAACAAAACCACAATGCAAACTACAAAGAACTAATATAGTGGAGTGTTACAGGTGTTGTCATCACTATAGTAACATCCTAATGTTTTATACTAAGATTTAATTACTTTAGAGAATGGATTATTCTAAGAAGACATTGATTAACTAAAAGATTCAAAGGAACTGATATATATTATAGTCTATCTGTCTTTGGTTAAACTAAAGTGGTTATAAGTACGACATGTTTAAATAATGTATTACTAAACAAAAGAATATCTTTGAGAAGAGCCCAAAAACCTCTACTTTGTGACATTAGTTTTTCTCTATAAAGTGGATCCTGGTTGTATAAACTTATCAATAAAGTATTATTATATCTTGAATCACCACAGTTGTGAACTTTTATGATAATCTTTTCTAGTGAAATTGTAAATAAATAAAAAACTAGGTACCAGAAAATGTACTTAATATTAACACAATTTCTTATTCAATGTATTAGCTCAGTTCCAGGAACCATAATCAAAATCAATAATTTCAACAGTACTGTTTAGCTACTAGTTACATTAACTATTATATAAGTTCACGGTTTTGGCATGTATACAGATGTCAACAGAAATATAAGCTCGGAGTTAAGAAACGCTTATGAGCTACATACGTATAAATAGCAAATGTGTTTTAGTAAATAAATAAAAATGAGGCACGCTAGTTACTATACAAACAAAAACAATGTACCTGTGGAACTGAAGTCAAACTCTGGCAGACGAGTGTATTTAATCACGGAACTTTTGGGTTTTTCCCTTAAAGGAAAAGTATTTTCTATTTCAACATACAAGCTACACAATTTCTTAAATTGGGAATCTGTTTTAACCGATGCACAAGCATCCATGTTACATTCACTGGAATTTTTCAAAACACTGGATTTATTATTTGATTACATATTTTATACTATCACAAATTTATGAAAAGCACATCTGTTTGTGCTTCGAGTATATATGTTTTTCATTTCTTATTCGTCATATAAAGAATCAAAAATGTATTTTTTATTATCTACAAAATTTATTTTTAATTTGGCGTGAGGCGTCATCAGTCAAATCATTCAAAAATTGACACAATCGACACTCTACAGCACTTTACACAGGTTCGTAAAATTGTTGTTCAATTTAATGCACAGACTAAAGAGCAGGATAATTATTTACACTGTCTAGAACAATAGAATGTTTATATCTTGACTAGTCTATCAAAAAACTTAAATTAATAATTTACTTTATGTTCAACATCGCGCGTTTTTATAATAATCTAAATATTTATAGATACATTTTATTGTAAATTTAATTTAGTCAAATTTTAAAATCAAAACATTTAAAGTATAAATTGTGTTTTTTTTGCAACAAATGTTTTCTTTTATGGACGTTTACAAGTGTATTTATTTAATTACATTATTATCAAAAATAAATTCCCATTGGTATGTCTCTAATGTTATAATGTTCATTGATGTATATATAATGTAATCAAATTATATAATCTCATTAAAAGTAAAATTTTATTTTCATTAGCTAATTAGACCCTAAGTCGGTGGCCGGTGATGTAACATTTTCGGACGGAACCGTAGGCCTAAAGCAGAATATTTCCTCAAAATAACCTAAAAAATGGCAACATTTTGTAATTGTAGTACTATTGTTTTTTTATTATCTATAATCTATATTCCCTTATAATCATTTATCTATAGCATAGAAAATATATTAATGTGACATTGGTCAAAATATGTACCTTTGTATTTTGTAATATCTATATGTAATATGTATAGTTATAATCGTGGTTCTAACTTCCCAAGTCGTAACTCATTTCAAAACTGTTTTATTGTATAAACCTTGCTATAATCTTATAACAATTATCTTCACGAGCTAACCCACCCAAGACTCTTCAACAGAAAATAATACGAATGTTTCAATGAATATAGGCTGGACAAGGATAAAGGTTTTCGTCGTAATGAGAAGTCTTTTTTGTTGGACTATATAAAGATTTTCTTAAGGAATTGACTAATAGGCCAGTGTGCATTGAAAGAAACACAAATATTTGTAAAAAATCGACTATGGATAGTGTGTTCTGCGATTAATTAGACTCAAGTGGATAATGTAGGTATTTTTATATTTTCAAAAATACGAATTTTACTGAAATATTTATTTAAAGCTCATCTTTGAATATCTTGTTGTAATTATTAAATATGTTTTTTATTCTTAAAAGCTTTTTGCTTAAAAATAGATATATCCGCTATTTGTATCAACTGGTTAAAAGAGTACATGTAAATGTATGTATGCAAATGTTCTTGTATTGTCTTGTTTGTAACGCTTTTGGTGGCATGAAAAATGTGTTTTTGAAAAGAAAAAATAGGGAATTAATAAAAATTTTATGATATTAGTTTCAGCGAAGAGCAATGGTAGTCAAGAAGCGAAAACTGTTTGTCCATAATCAGTGTCTGTCGGATTTGGCTAGCCTGGCTGATTATATACAAGAAATAGTTGACCAGCCAGAATATTTGCATTTAACTAAATATGAACTCATCAAGAATTGTGAACATATGGTGGAATGCCTCAGTAAGTTCTGAATTGTATTTTCTTTTGCTAATTAAAAGTGGCAGTTAATTTTTTTTTGTATTTAAATAACAAAAAAGTTATTAATTGAAATAAACTTTAAATATCTTGTTTATTAGAAAAAAGACTGGTTGAGATGCAGCATTTTTATATCTTACATATGCTGAGGATGTGTGATATCCAGCCATTTCTCTGTTTCTTTCACCTTCAATCACAGATTGATGATCTGAAAAAAAAAAATCTTTTTTGTGCACTATAAGGAATTGAATTTATCAACGTCATAATATACATAATACATACATATCACCTTCCCAATTACTGTAGTAATATGATATCATAAAATCTAATTATTGTATTCAAATTGTGACAATATTTAACTCCCAGGTCGTTTATCTGGTCCAGAAGAGGAAACATGGAAGTATTTACGTAATGTTGAAGACTGTCTCCTGTATTCCATAAATAATGTAGACTTGGATGTTCGCAATGAAATCACCACGGCTGTAATTGATAAATTCTATTCATACATTTCTGATCCATGTGAGTATTCTTCTCTACTTCATCCTTTATGAGTGAGAGTAATGAGCTGGTAGGCTACTTGATGGGAGGTGAACATATCAAATCTCTAGACTGGAAAGCTTAAAAGCAATTATTATGGGGCGTGTAAATTGTCTTGTTTGGTTAAAAAATTTATTCTTTGACACCTATTTTTTAATTGCTACTCTTAATGACTTAACTTAGAATATTATTTATTTTGACATTTTCCATGTCTTGTTTTGTAGCTACGGATGCTGGTCCAGTGCTGTGGATAGCTCTAATTGTAATAGCTGAGGACAATCCTGAGATGGCGTTGTCTGAGGCGAGAAGAGTTGTGCAGAAGAGCCTCAACGAGCCGGGTGGTATAGGTTTACAGTCAGCCTTGTCCTGTCTTTATGGTTGGTTGTCTGCTTGGCAGTCCTCCTTGTTATCCAACTGGATCTTGTGTTTCATTCAAGTATTAGAGGTTTGTTGTTTTTTCTTTTTTATTATGTGTTTACTTTAATAGCAAAACAGCATTAGTCACTCTTTCTCCTTGAGATTAGTTCTTTGTAAGGAGTCACTTTTATAAATAGACATGCATATATTGTTGTTCAATTTGTTCTAACTTAAGAAACACATGGCGGTTTCCTAAAACTTATTACAATTACTATTTCTTTATATTGTTCTTACTGTTATTGTTTAATTTGATTTTTTTTTTAGGAAAATGAGCTGTTTAACATATTAATCAAAGTATCAGTAAGAAACATAGCGAACCTCTTCAAGGAGATAAAAGTACCAAATTCACTGCAGCAAGCGCGTGCGTTTGACGTTATATTGCACATATTAGCCTGTTTACGGGAGTCTGCTGATATGTTTGATCAGGTAATAAAAATGACGACAAAATCATTGAGAGCCATTAGTCTTGCATGATCGATGTTGATATCATTTTAAGAGTCTCAGCTGTGAAAACCTGCCAATTCTCTATGACCAGCCCCTTGTGTTGAGAACTGGTAGTGATTTAATTAATCTTTTTAATGCTTAAAGATCATGAATAATTTTCCTTTCTAAATGAGATAAATGAGAAACTGTATATAACAGTAGGTTATAGTCTCAAAATAATAATATACTTTTGAATCTCGTATTTTCTATTTAATTTAGTTAAATAATTAAATAATTAAAAAAATGCTTGTTCAGTTAAAAGAAATAATTTTATATAATATCAGGGAATTATACTACTTTTTTAAGTTACTATACCTGGGATATTAACGATACTTTTAGAACTTTGAGAAGATAATTCTTGAATGTTAATGTATAAAAATACTAAGTACTAATATGTAAATAATCTTAATAAATAAATTGACATCTGAATATGATGTTTGTTGTAGATATCACCCTATGTGGGTGATATTATGGAAAGCCTCGCAGCTGATAGCAATAACTGGTGCAGACAGCTCCTGCAGAATCTAGTAGATATACTCTACTCTATGATAAACTACCAGATGGCTTCGATCGCGCAAGGAGTTAAACCGCAGACCTCTCGCTCGAAGTACACAGAGTTCGTAAGTAATTTGCGTAATTTATTATCTACAGTATCTCCGCTTGATATGGCAGAAGAAAACAAAAATGGGCAATTAACTTAGGCGAAAATTAATTTGTACTATTATTTGTGTAAGAATTTGTACTCTTGTATATTAACATTTTAAGACTGAAAATATAATAACTCAAGTCATAAAATTTTAGTTAGACTCCCTCTAGCGGCCTCATATGTGACAAATGATTTAAATAAAACACTTTAACGGTTTAAAACGCGATATATTAGTTAAACTTATTTGAAAATTATTTTTAACTTCGGCCTGACGTTTCGGATGCTTTGCAGCAGCTGAGGTCACGGGGACCGTAAACCGTTAGTGTTTTATTTAAATGTGTACTACTCGCGTAAACTATAGACAGTATGTCACATGATGTTAATATTCGGGATTAGTTCTTATTTATTTAATTAGACGTTAAATTATCTTTATTGCAAAAGAACATGTAAATGTCTGCGTATTCTTTGAGCTTCCTCGGATGTATCTAATCCACAAAATCGCTAAATTTAATTTTACTTAATAAAAAAAAATACTTCTGTCAAAAAAATCACGTGCTCGTAATGGAAGCAACGAATTGCTAATCGACGGGACGTAGGTTCGGTCGCCACTCGTCCAATATGTTTCTAAAAATCTAGATATAAAATGGGTGAAAATATTGAAATTTCGTCCATGTCACGAACCAATGAAGCCATGAATAAAAATAAATAAATAAATAAAATAAAACATACTTTATTTTCACCACAATGTTACAAAATAAACTTAATTAAAAAATTAATAAAAAGTAGCGAGAAAAGGCGGCCTTATTGCTAAAAAGCGATCTTCCAGGCAACCTTGAAAATGGAGACTTACAATAATACATGATAATAATAAGGGTAACACTACAGCTATAATAAGCTTATATTATATATATATATATATATATATACATATATACAAGACTAAGTCGATAGCGTATCTTGTTTAGATGTGAACTATATGCTTGTCTCCCTTATCAAAATAAAAATCTTTCGAAATTTAGATTAAAAAAATGTCTCTTTGCAGTTTAACATATTAACATTGTAAGGGTTCAAATGTTGTATTCAGCGCGTAGATTAAATTTACATAGGAGGGCAGACCTTCGTGTCCTTTTCATACGAAACTATGAACACCTAGGATCTATTGCTTAACGCGGTCAATACTAATATAAAGTTTGAATGAAGTACACAGTGCTTATTAATTTCAAAGCAGATAAACAAGCGTTAAACTCTAACATAGGCGAAATACCTGTTTTAGAACATGCAACTAGAGTGTTATGTTGATCTTAACTTTTCATATTCGGGAAATCTGTGATATCCCAACGTTTATTCTACATCCTCTTGTTGGTATAGAATTTTATATTTTTATTACATGGAGACTTTTGGTCTTTTCTTTGGACTTGGATCTTATCCAAGGTTGACGTGTGTTGAAGAAAGTGTTGCCTTTTTATGTTGTGAAGCAATAAATAGGTTGAAATCTAATCTAGACTAATATTATAAGATATTCTACATAACATCATGTTGCGACAGAGGAAAATGTGAAGAAACGGAGAAAATTTTTTATTTATCTTTGAGATCAGAAAACCAAATAGAAAAACGACTCTTGTGTGTTAATCTTGGAAGCGTATATCGCGGACATTTTTTAGATTATTTAAAGAAGAACACTTCTTTATATATATTTTTTTGGGTACCTTTAACGGTTTTTGTAGCGCTCGCCACGGAAACCCTGAAAGATGTTGATTTTTTTCACATTTATCACTGTGTCTTCGCGCCTATTGGTCGCAGCTTAAAACTGTTCTATAAAAAAGAATATTTTATTGTAAGAAAATATTAAAAGGCATTGTCTCGCGGTCTCCGAATCACGTGAACTTTGCAAAACTTTAAACGTTGTGTAATCAACAAAATCGCAGAATGAGACTTTTAAAATGAATGACACCTTGTAGAAAGCCACCGTAGCTCAATTGTTTAACGTTTCGCCAATCGTAGTCTAAACACGGTGTCCTTGGTTCCAAACCTGGAAAAACAATCCGGTTGGACAGGAAAGTATAACAAAATCAAACTGACAAAGACTCGGAAGTTGAAAGATTGGTCTCGTAGGGGCTTATAATATCGGCGAATGGTTTGAAAGATTATCTAAAACGTTCTTCGCAACACAATTTTTATTACGCATAACGAAATTGGTCAAAATTGTTTTTTTACAAAATTGTATCCCCCAAAAACATAAAAACAGACAATACCAGAAGAAATTTTAGATACCCATTAATTTGGGTTCATAATGGTAGGTGATATACACACACTGGAATCAAAACGGATTTAAACTTCACGGCTTTTTCATCAGTAGACGGTGGTTCGTGATCGGGACGGAATATCGGTATTCCTTTCACTCCAATACTCATATTTCTAGACGAAGTTTTAGATATTTTTTAAATTTATTAGAAAAATACTGTCTATAGTTTACGCGAGTAGTACACATTTAAATAAAACACTTTAACGGTTTAAAACGCGATATATTCGTTAAACTTATTTGAAAATGGTTGACCATCGGATTGAAACGTCGGGCCTGAGTTGAAAATCATTTTCATATAAGTTTAACTAATATATCGCGTTTTAAACCGTTAAAGTGTTTTATTTATTAGAAAAATGTTGAACCCAGTGGGGATCAAACCCACGACTCGATTATTAGCCGTACATTGACCCATTACACCTACGAGCCTTTTAAAACATCTATCAATATTATAATCCGAGCTTAGAAATTGCGATGTTATTTTAATTGTTCGTCCATTTTGTTTACAAGCCATCGCAAAATTCACAATAAACCTACGGTCACTGCAATTCAAGCCTTTCAAGTAAATTAAAATGTTTATTGGGATCAAGTTCTTAATAGTTGTATTGTTTTTCAGTGTCCATTCAGTCATTAGTGTTATTGCTAAAAAGCTTTGATACATTCGTATCAGCTTATCAACGATTTATAAGAGGATTTGTGGATGCGGAAGAAAAGTATTTTTCATTATTCTATTCCTGTTAATCCCTATAGTAGATTGGTCTTAATGCAACGTTCAAGAACACCGATCGATTGGTTCCATGTAAAACAGGAGTTCAAATACGCTTTCCACTTTTTATGGCGTTTATATTTTACTTTGCATTTCCAAACCTGTCTTCATTGTTAGGAGCATAATATGTGATGGGCATTATAAATTTACGTGCAAAAACTTAAGCGCATATAATCAAATATGAGACAAAGCTTGTTAACGTTGCGTCTCGACTTTTCAGCCACTATGCAACAGTTTTCCATGAAATTTCAATAAACATGTTCTTGAAGCTTCCCATAGCTAAGCCCCATCTAATTGGACTGAGTAATAAAACGCAAGGAGCCCTAAGACGTTAGGAGACCCCCTGGATGATTATATCAAGTTTAATAAAATGAAATTTCTCAACGTTAGTAACGTAGAACGCTCTAGAGTTGAAGTTAATTATTTTCTTTACATTATTATCTGTAGAAGTTCGCTCTGGGCAACCTTTGCATTTCTATATTTTTTTCCGCCCACCCGCCGCTTTGTTAAACGCTGCCAGCGCCAGTATCTTCCGAAAGCTTCGCGGGAAATAGTTATTGCACACCTAAGATTCTATTAAGGAAACGCGAGAGTTAATTAGTTAAATTTTATTTCCATGCTCCACACTCAAAAACAGATTGTTTGCTCTGATAACACGCAAAAGTTTGAGAACCCTAGCCCGCGTATCATTATTTGTTTGCGTTGTGAAGTTGCATAGCTGTCGGGATGCTGCAGTTTTCTGCCCAGTCGGTCTCTAGCTAACCGGCGATAAGCACGTTGCAACCCTTTCCGGTAATATAAATTACATACTTCGTTTGTATAGAATCGCGTGTGATTTAATGCGAACATGGAATTAGTTCAATGGCTCGTTCTTAATTAATAAACATTTTCAAGTTTAATTATGGATCTCTATGCAGTTTAATTAAAATGCCTTTGCACATTCGGAATATTAGTAAACATGAAAACTCTGCCTTTGATACATGTAAAATATATTACAGTAAGCTGCTGTTTATTCTGTTTGAAGACTCTTTTTCAATATCAGTGATTAAATCTCGGTTCGCTGAATATTATAAACTTGTTTGTATGTTGTTTTGGTAGTTGTAATTAATGACTTTATGATTTTATGAATAGATTTTTCTATGTCATTGTTTGTTAAAAAATCTTGCTTCAGAGCTTTTGATGAGGTAAATTTTCATGCCCTTTAATCAGTTGTCATCAAAGTGTGATTAATTATTATTTTACATGGAATATAGTTTTTGTTATTGCAAAATTTAAATTGATAATGCATCGTTTTTCGTTTTTATATTAGTGTGCAATTTGTGACCGGTTTTTTTGGAAACGATCTCAATACTTTCTGCCTACTCACATTAAAAATTATGTATGACTATTTATAATCCAAGTGAAGGGAATCCTAATTGGATTATGGCATCTCTTTTGATAGTATTTATTAAAAACTCGCGGTAGACAAAACAGATAGCAAGTGTCCGCGTTGCTCTGCCACCCGCAACTACCTGTTGCGGTCTCGAGCCCCGCTTAAGTCAATCTGCCTTTAACATTTCGTAGATAGCTGTCAAATTATAATTAAATAAATAAATTTGTAAGGATGTACTGTTTTTCTGATCAAGTTAAGTCAACATAAAAGATTAAAAACACAACAATGATGTATATGTCATCATAATATAGTTACTAAAAATGTCTTCAATACGAACACAACGTTGTTATTTAATTGTATTGTCCAATGTGATGTGAATTTGGATGAAAAATAGTGGCTAACATGTATTGTTTCCTAGCTCACGTCCTTGGAGCGTCACATGGCGTCTGGGGAGTGCAGTCTTCTACAACTCCAGCCTTGGAAGGCTCGAAAACATGAACAGCCCAGCTCCCCCACAAGAACACCTGTAGGGAAAGTCGGCTTGCTGAACCTCGGCAATACTTGCTACTTGAACAGCGTCATGCAGGCACTACTTGTGGCGAGACAGTAAGTACATTTAATGCTGCTTAAGCCGTACTCATTCAAAAACCGTAACAGATAACTGTAATCAAACCGTAACTTATTTGAATTTGAGGGAATATTTATTGTTACAAACTTTGTTTAAAAAAATTAAAAATCGAAAATCAATTGAAAAAAATTTCGACTCGGGCAGGACTTGAACCGGCATCGTTAGCGTTCCGTGCTGTTGCTACAAATTGAGCTATCGAGTCGGACTCGGTTTATAAATTATGTGCCATCATGTGCAATAACATGTGAAAAATATTAAAGTTTTGACTCAAAGGTCTTGTATAGGCGAATCTTAAACGTGAAGTGGGTAAGCACCTTTCACGTTTAAGAAATATATGATACAGCGCGCTTAAAGGATACAACCTATCCACGTTTATGAACTGCTTCTTTGATATTAGATTTATTATTGTTGTTTTATTTTTACTATAGTTGTTTATTATACGTCCGCATGATGTAATATCACTTAGAAATATATAAAGGGACACGAAAATCTGCCCCAATAGGGTTGAGCGGTTTTCACACATTGAACACTAGTAGGTACCCAATATATAATCGATACTAATATATAAAGCTGAAGAGTTTGTTTGAATGCGCTAAGCTCAGAAACTACTGGTTCGAATTGAAAATTGTTTCTTTCTTTTGTGCCGGTTGGAACTTTTATTGAGGAAGGCTAACATATCGCTGTGACTAATAGGAGCGGAGATACAGCGGGTAATCTCGAAAAGACGGGATAATTTATTCATCCTTGTGGGTTTTCATTGCGTACGCTGCGAAAACGGTTTAAGATACCCAAAAAAATATGTATGAAAGAATAATTCCTCTTTCAATGATCTAAAAAAGTCCGCGGCAGTATATGTCTATCTTGTCATTTGTAAAGAAATATTTTATAGTATTTTCTTTAACAAACGTGTATATTAAATTTGTGTTTTGCTCTGTTTTTACTTTTAAAAACGGCGTAGTTGTAAAGTTTGTCAAACGTGAAACGTGAAACTGGAACTGTTATTCTATAAATGTAGAGAAAATGAACTTTTAAAACTGCTGTGCGCTTTGAAACACTTTGTGAGGTTTCACTTTCCTCGGTTATAAACGTACTATTTAGGGTTTTGATCTGAAATCTATAGATTTCAGATACTGGCAACATGGTTATATTTTACAGAATGTACGATTAAAAAAAAAGTACACTTAAAGACTTATCTAAACAGCGTTGTTATAAATTAATCTTCTTATAAATGAGAATCGAATGCTGAAAGCAAAAGCGTACAGTTAATTAACTTCGAAGTTACTCTTATATAATTACAATTGTCTATTAGTTCATTTTGCATTGTTTTTCACGTTTATTAACTTCGTGTAAACGTGGAAACGTTGAGATTCAAAATTATCTAAGTAAGTCTGTACTGAAAAACTTGGCGAAAGATTTGGACTATACTACAAGTGTATAGCAATGTACTTATCAAGTTACGCAACAGCGTCGACCGTCGACCCCGACGACGACTAAACCAAATCCGTAGATACACTTATCACGACGCGATCTGCTTGCGCCGGCGCCGATCGTCCGCGTACCCGGGTGCGTTTCCGTTCAGCTCGTCACGCTCCCACCAGCGTTGTTGCCTCCCTTGGGGCACGTCCGGTTAGGTCCAAAAACAGCGGCGACCAGCAATGCGAACGGCGAACCAAAGAAAAGGTTGAATCAGGAAAAATTGTCGCCCCGCCCATCGCGTCGCCGATCTCACTGCCAATATTCGTTGCCAAGCGGCAACATTAATTCAATTGCAATTTTCCAGTACGCACCCTTTGAAGTGTTCTCTTATTGCGCTTTTTTCCACACAGCTCCGGAGTTTTACTTTCGCTGTAAAGATGTGACCTGTACATTGTGCAACAAGGGTTCACTTGTTTTATTCCGTGCACGAATATTAAAAGTTAATTTCTGAACCCCGTATAGCGGATATTACGTGGAAAATTCTCATTAAGTTTATCGTATAAAGGATTTTCAGATCCTTGTGAATGCACTCATAATAATTGTTCAGGTTATTCTCAGAAGTTGTAGGATTCTAGTGAAATGGACGCGATAGAGTAAGCAGTGATAAAGCTCAGGTTTAACGGGGATGTTTGTAGACGGCCGTTCAAGCTCAGTCGTTTGCGTTTTGCTTTTCGTTACTATAGTCTGATTTTTGAATTCGAGAAAAGTACTGATATATCAAGCTGTTTTCACAAAGTAAAGTCAAAGAAGACGTTTTTTATTAAATTATAGAATAAACGTTATTCAAATAAATTGTGTAAGGCTTTCACGGCCATCGTGCAGCATATCATATGATATGCTAAACGTTATTTAATTAAATAAAACCCTTTATCGGCTTAAAACGCGAAATATATCAGATAACTTTTTCACAAATTATTCTATCTACGGTTCAACGTTTCGGCCGCACTTGCTTTTGCTTTTAAAACCGTTAAAGTGTCTTAATCAAAAGCACATTAATTGTTATATAATATTATGGTAATAATTGTTTAATGTCAGTTGTTATATATGTCTAGCGAAGCGCAACAGCCATGTAACATATGTGTAGCTCTAGTACTCTATGTAAAGTACTTACAGAATACAAGAGATAATTAAAAATATACATTTATTTATAATCCCCACTAATTCTGTACCTACCTATCACCCACCGTCACTGATAAGTTGTGCTTGCGACAGCTTGTTACATCTTTGCAAAGCGATCTATTTTGAATATAATAAATATGATCCACTATGTTTGTTTACTATTTACGATACAAGACAACTGTCAGTGTATTTATGCCAACGGTCACCTGTAGAAAGTTTGCGTTGTGTTCTTTCTTGTGGATTTGTGATTGTTCGAGTTGATTCTTTGTTTGCTAATACTTTAATCTCTCGCGAATGTATTTAGTCTTAATTATAAAGGTGCTCATTTAAAACATTACTACGCGAATACTTGACGGATTAAAAACGCTGTATAGATCTTGGCTTCCCACGCGAAAGTCTATAAGAAAGCTTTTTCTTTCATTATTGTTGATTTATTTTTAGGCTGACAGTGTTCGAACGTGAAGTGTTTTGGTTTAAATTAACAGAGTACAGTTCCCAGTGCTAGGACTGGAACGTCGGTAGTGTGAAAGCTTTATTTACGCTGGTACAGAGGGCAGTCAGCGCGTACAGTTTTTGGTTCTGCGAAATCCTTTAGAATGTTTTTCTTTATTGAAGGACACGTGTCAAACTGCCCCCGTAATCCATACGGAACAACGGGGCTCGCTCTTTCATAAAAATAAACATGAGCCTTCAATCATACATCATTTGAGTTTATAAAAGTCTAAGTAGAAGAGCGTTGTCTATTTTAAATAGATATAAATGAGGAGAGACAAGCACGGGGTTCACATGATGGAAGGTAAAATACCGTATAACATCTAAGATGTGTATTTGGGCTTTGGATATTCGGAACTCCACGGAAACCGCAACGTGATTTATCTTGACGGCTTTTTCATGGCTGGTGGGGATCGAACCCAGGTTCCAATAATTATTAATCATACATTGTTACCGTTACACAAATTAGCGCGTGCAATATTGACATTTCAATTAATACTATAAGTGTTTCATAAATATTGTATGTAGTATAGAAGCTTTGCGTTTTTCTGTGACTCTGTAATTAGTACGTCCTCTATATTTCATATTGTAATAAATATTGTCATTTTATGCATTCACGTACACACTTCGCGTGTCATTTTTGTTTGAGAATGTTTATATGTTCACAGTGTAATATTCAAATTCATTAAAATTTTCGCTTCAGCCATTTAGGGGTAAAGTTACTACTGCTTATGACACCACGTTCTGCACAGGTTCAGCACGCACGTCGTTCTGCACATGAACCACCGAGCATATTGGGCGCCAATGGGACTTCTGTTTGCCAAGATGATGCACTCCATCACAAGAAAATTGAATCCCAAGGACTTCTTCTTGGTTGCGAAGCCGACGTTCTTCAACGCGGACACACAGCACGATAGCTCCGAGTTCTTGGGGTAAGTAAATTGAAAACTATGCAACAACAATAAAGAAACGAATTCGACAAATTTAATAGCGACATAGTTATTTTAGGCATCAGATTTTTATTTTCAAACCTTTTATTCATCTTTATAAATATAGCTGGTACCCACTACGTTCGCGTCCCGTCGTTCTTGCAAGTTAATCGTAAATGATAGACATATAATAGTGTCGCGGATATTTTTTTAAGATTATTTCAAGAGGAAACATTTTTTCATACATATCTCTTCGGACATCTTGACAATTTAAGATTTCGAATTGTACGAAAGATTTCCCCCGTTTTCTACATATCCCGCTGTTCTTCGCAGCTCTATTGGTCACAGCGTGATCTAATATAACCGAAAGATGTTTTCGATAAATGATATAACCAACCAAAAAAAAAAATTGTACCTGTAGTTTCTAAGTTAGCGCGTTCAAATAAACTCTACAGCTATAAAATATTACTATAGATGCGATTCTTAATTTTTATATTTAGTAATCAATCTTATGTTTTCGTGTGGCGTGTAGTATATAAATTTATTTTTTTCGTTTCTTATTTCGTGTTTTAAGTTGGTTTAGTAATTACTAGCTGCGTCACCGACTTCGTCCGCGTAGAATAGTTATTTTTGGCATCCGAATTTGTTTTTGCAAATCTCCTCTTGATCTTTATTGAATTAAGCTTAAGGCCACGACGGCGGTCGCGTCCTCTTCTCGTAGCTCTTACGAGTAAATCTTAATAAATAAAAATTAGAGCGTCGCGGATTTTTTTTTTAGATCATTTAAAGAGAAATTATTCTTTCAATTACCAAGGTTCAAAATACGTATATATTTTTTGGGTATTTTGAACCGTTTTTGCAGCATACGCCTCGGAAACCCATAATGATGAATACTCTTCCATATTTCTCGCTGCCTCTTCGCTTGTATTAGTCACAGGGCGATGTTGATATATTATATAGCCTTTCTCTATAAATGCTCTAACCAACACAAAAATAATTTTTTAATTCGAACACGTAGTTTCTGAGATAAGGCCGTTCAAACATACAAACAAACAAACAAGCTCTTGAGCTTTATATATTAGTATAGATTTGCTATCATACTAATATATAAAGCTTTTAAATTTGATTATTGAATTAATGTCTCATTAGTAACCATCCAACTGTCGGCGGATTTGCCGTGATTCTCCAAAGTATCAGTTTTACACTAATTATCGCCATTTAAACTCGATCAGTAGCTCTTCGTAAAATCGATATTTGTATTTTGTAATTATCGGGTCCTGTTCGCCTTTTTCAACGGAAGTGTTTATTAAACTTTGAACGCATTATGCATTTCCCCTTGTAAAATTGAAATGTTGCGAAACAAATACCTGAAAGCTTTTAATTGGTGTGCCAAGTTTGTAAAGGCTGATGTTTACAATAGTTTTTTAATTATTTTCGCCGGAAAGTGAAACGCGGTTGCTAAAGTAACTGTAGGTGAAAATATGCGGAATATGGAAATTTCACTTAACTTGATAGTCCAATTTATGTCGTGCGTTCGTTTCTTTTTCTTATTTGTTTTTTTTTCTAAAATGTATGTTTATCGGGAAATTTTGGATTTTAAATTATTTAAATAAAACACTTTAACGGTTTAAAACGCGACATATTTTAGTTAAACTTGTTTGAGAATTATTTTTAACTACGGCCCGACGTTTCGGATGCAGCAGCCATGGTCACGGTCACCAGAGCTAAAAAAAATTCTCAAAAAAGTTTAACTGAAATATGTCTCCTTTTAAACCGTTAAAATGTTTTATTTAAATGTGTACTACTCGCGTAAACTACAGACAGTATTTGTAAATTATTGTTGTATTAATAGTGTGGTGTAAACGCCACGAAACCGTAGAGACAGGTTTTCTCATAATAGAGGCTCAACAGCTTAAAACCACCACACAGCTGATATACGGATTGTGGTTTTAAACAACTACCGTCACTTGTAACACCAGGGCAAAAAGCTTAAGCTCTTAAAGTTGGGTAAGCACGCTATCACTCCCGTACGCACGGTACCCACGAACAGAATCAATGATACTGCGTATTAGTCCCACTAGGCACTTCTAAGCAGGTACTCTTTATAGTTATGGGTTATAACTAAATAACGATAAAACTGCCGAATCTGATATCTGAATCCGATTGTACCCACGAGCCATAGAACAAAATTTCTAATCAGGTTATAATTTTTCTGAAACATATATTTATTAAATCGATGTTATATGGCTGGGGTATACTATCTATAATTCCAAGCTTATTTGTCATTAAAAACGACTATTCAATACGCGTACAAATTGAATAATAGTGAGTTCGCTATTGGATCATATTATGCGGAGGTCTTAAGTAACCATGGATACGTACTAACGAATCCATTCAACAGCCGTTATTACGATTGAATTTCCTTTAAGAGGTGATTCCATTTCCAAAGAATATAATTCTACGAGAACATTATTTTTAAACGGACTTACAGGACAAAAACTTATTAATGTGGGCTGGTGCCTTAATACCTTAGGCCCTACACGCTGCTCAAATTCCGCACGTGGCATCAACACTAATTATTGTCGGCTGTAAAATTTTCTCCATTAATCTCGTAACAGGATTCAAACCACGGACCTCGTGATTTGTAATACCGTGAACACTGAACGAGGCAGTTAAAATATTAATAATTCAAGTTAATACATTTGATAGGGACGGATAGGGGACCATTAAAATATTATGCGCGGTGTAATCAGCTTATATGGCAAAAGAGCGACTGTTCAATTTGATGAGTACAATCTTTAATGCTCGTAATGGAAACGAATTTTTCTTTTTAAAAGAGATTATTTCAGATTTCATTGTTTTTCGGGTTGTTCCGCCGACGTGAGCGAGTAGAGGTTCTCGACGTTTCGCCATCACGTGCGGACGGCATCATCAGGAGATGATGAGAGATCATTCCTCAATTTCACTTCCATCAAGTGATGGCGAAACGTCTAGAACCTCTTCTCGCTCACATCTGTCGAACAGCTTGAAAAACAATGATAATTTGCCGAACGACGCCCGTGAAAGCCTTACACAATTTATTTCAGATTTGTCAATCTGATGTTTACAGCCCGCATCGTTTACATTATTTCAAAAAGCTGCGAGTAAATCGTTGCATTCAATGGATTTTCACTCTTTATACGCGACTGTATATGTATATGTGCCAGTATATATATCACAGTTTTAATACAATATGTCATCGCACTTTTTTCGGAATCTAATTAGTAGGAAAACCGTCTGATTATATCTACAGACACTCGAATGAAAAGTCGTTGTTAACAGCGGGGTGCGTGTTGTTATTTTCTCTCATCTACTCGTATCACGAACAAAAATGTTAGGATAGCTTATTCATACTAAGTATATCTTTGTATGAAAAACATAGCGTCTTTATATTTGATAGAAATTAATTTTTGTTTTTGAATAATAGTTTTATTACAATGATAAAACGCACAATACACTGTATTTTATATTCACAATATATCGCAATTATTATATAATGAAATATTTTGCTTCTATATTCATACCTGCTGTTCTTTGATCATATGATTTATTAATTAGTAAGTATATTGTATCATCTGTTTTAGTTGAACTTTTTTATGGATTATTTGACTTTTAAAATAAAATATATGTAATAATTTAAAATTTTCTTCACGAAACTGACAGAACTTGAACCACAGCGTTTGGTGATCTTGTTTTTTTTTTATTTAAAATCGATTTTTAATTCATATAATGCCATCATACGCAACAACGTGATATTAATAGTTTTCGAATATAAACATGGAGCTTTTTTTTGAAGCACAACTTTAATACGTCGTTGAACGCAGTTAATGTAATTATATAAAGGTTTTAGAGTAAGGACACATACATTTACCCTAGTAAGTTTTTATATATAGTTCTATAATAATACTGAAACATATTGAAATCGAAGTAGTAATTTCTGAAATGAACGCACCCAACGAATCGAAATTTTAAAAGCTTTATAATTACTTAGTGTTTGAGCGAATTTCTTTGACACAAAATTTTAATGTCCAAAATGAAATTCTCGGACACGAGTGTTTATAATTTTAAATTAATTTCATTCGAAAGCAAAGGATATTTAATGCGTGAATTTATTTCCACTCAGAACGGACAATGATAACGATAGACAATAGGATTGTAAAATAATATTTTCATTCATAGTACAGTATTTATTTTGCTTTATACAAATTAAATAACGTGGTTTGGGTTATTGCGTATCCGAAATGTTTACTTAGCGAAATCTGATAAAAGGCTTTTTTATGATACAGGACATATAACTATAGGGTTCACATACTCCCCCAGGTGTATACCATCTAAAAAATATGCGCCGTCGACCTTTTTTGGCTTTGGATATTTGAAAATCCACGAGATTTTTTATATGTGGACGATGGTTCGTGACCTGGACGGAATTTCGATATTTCACCCATTAAAATCCAGATTTCCAGACGATGTCTAACATTTTCCAGAAAACTTATACTGATTTGACATGACAATGACATTATTAATTAAAAAACCATTGGATCCGGCCGAGATCGAACCCGCGACCCCTTGATTGCTAGAGATACATTGTTACCACACCAACAAGGCCGTCCATGCTACTTTGAATTAGTATTTTTTTTAAACAATTATCGTACTTAGAAATGCTTTTGAGAAACTTAATTTTTGTTCCTCTTTCATCTTGAACGGAAACTTACCAGACCGGGGGTGGCTTCAGTCTCTATTACCAGAATATATATTTAAAATAATATTTAATGGTTGGGCGTTTGTTTTAGAATAAAACATTTATTTTACAAAAACAGAGGCTCTACACATGTTGTTCATCTTTTCAGATATTTGTTTGAGCTTCTTCAGTCTTATGAAAATGTGTCAGAGGCAAATTTTGACTATAGCCGGCCTGTAATCCTAAATGAGGAGCGGCTACGAATCTCTCACCCTCATGCCTCACCTATGTCGATGTCAAGGTAAGGATTAATTTATATCATTTAACATTAATTTTAAGAATTAACATTCAATTTTATAAATTAACATTATTTAAAATTAACTTTCAATCACTGTGATATTAAAGCTACGTCATCAAAGCACTTTGATAACTGACCGTCTCTGTCTCTACCATTAAGTTAAGTTCGAGAGTTCCTGGTTTCTAGACCCGGTGACACACAATAGTCTTTGTCGGGCAGGACACAGTTCCCACCGACTCCACTGTAAATACAAGCGATTAGCGAAAAAGATCTTTTTTTTTTGCAAAATGCTCTCCGAGGAAATTGTCGCGGCTCTTTCACTTAATACATTCAAAAACTTCTTAGACTCATTCTCCAAGAAATTATAATTCTCGTGCATCAGCTTAGGCTGCTAGTACAAGAAGTAATAATAAATAATGTCCCATCATAGAGGAAACAACATCTCACGCACCCAGATAAGTCCCACAACTAAAATAAACTTCAAATGTGGCAACGTCCAGTGTATTTTGTTTTCAATTAGTTAATTGACACACATATAGTCAAGTTTTCAGATTAGCTAACGACGTTTACGAAATAAGCTTCAAATACAATGAATGTTGCTAGCAAATAAACCTAAAATGTAAATTAAATTGTGCTCTGAAGTTTAGATCTCATAATTGAAGTATTATTTGCTTTTGTCGGGTCAATGTTGATTAAAGACAGTTTCTAGAATTGCACGTAAAACCTAGCGTAAGGGACGCATTATTATGTCTGTCCCATCCTATATGAGCGAAACGCAAAGCTTATTAAGTTTAAGCCCTCGCAGAGCACAACACTGGTCTAATTGAATGAATCTTCATTCGCGTTTGCAAAAACACCCTATTCCCAGTAATACGGTGTATTGATTTTTATTTCTCGGTAACGCTTTTTTTACTCTGTCCGTCTAGTTTTGTTTTATTTTCAGTACATTAACAACAACAGATATTTTAATTTAAATAAGAGTTACGAGTCTGTATTCATTTGTTATTTCTATGACTTTTATAAATACCACGTTAGGAAGATTGTTCATACCGTAGATAAATATTGAGTTTGTTGGACTAATAGATGGTTTGTATTTTCAGCGAAGAGTCCAGGAGTCCGGAGAGCGTCCGTTCCCGTCGGTCTTCTTCTCCCAGCCCTAGTAGCAGTACAGAAAGTATGTATTTTTTAACAACTACTTTTCTTATAATAACTTTGGAATACAATATTCAATTATAATATTCACCTAGGATTATGGACCGCCTTTATGGCGCTTGTAAAAGTTCAATATGTTAAACTCTATCTTGATAAGAGCAGGGTGAATCCGAATAAAACGTTTTCGTTGTGCACGATACAGAAGTCTGATGTAATTTCATGTAGTTTGATGTTACTTTAACATTTTCTGTATCTAAATTTAACTTTTTTAAGGGGGTCTAAGTTAATTTCACAAGCTCGCACAAACAGCTAAATGACATATACACTATATATGTACCAAAATATGTTCTAACTTTATGATCTTTAACTTGAAATTCTTTGGAAAAATGAATCTTTACCACAGATTCAGCAGCAGTTTCAGCATTCAGAGCAAGATTACATCTGTTATAGTTACACTTACATTTTTTTTTAAATATACTTTATATTTTATTTCTGTATATATAACGTAGTATAAATATTTATGTCAATATATTAGTAAACACATACATATATGAAGTCGCTAGAGTCAGCCTAACCGCAATTTTATGACTTGAGCTATTTATATTTTCATAGTCTAAAAATGTTAATGTACAACAGTACAGTGACTTGAATTGTTAATATAATTGTTACACAAATAATAGTAAAAAATAATTTTCGCCTAAGTTAATTGTGTTTTTTATTTTACTTCTTATTGAAAACTATGTTTTTCGTTATTAGGCCACTCTGCCTCTAGCAGCTTCATATATGTTAATTTACTCAGGACATATTATGCATACATACATTTATATACTATATTTATGTACTAGGTCCACTTGAAAATCAGTGTAGCGTCTTGTGCAATACGCTGATTTTTAATTCCTTTTTTTCCATTCTGGACCTTCGCCTTAATGTCAATAAAGTCAAATTTAATTGGTATTTTACGACTATGTAAATAATGTAAGAATTATTTATGAGAGCCAATAGATTCTCTTTCTCTCTTTTACAGGTGCAAGTGGCCCGGGAATGAAGCGGCGGCATAGCGAAATGAACAACCAGATAGTAACAAAACGGAGACGCGGCACAGACGCGTACAAACGTCAAACGACTTCGTTCATCGATTCTATGTTCGGCGGGGTCCTACAGACTCAGATACGCTGCGCCGAGTGCGACTCGTCCTCGCTATCGCAAGACGTCTATCGGGACCTGCAACTCGCGTTCCCCGAAAAGCCGAAAGGGTACAAGCATAGCGTACAAGGCCTCCTCGAGTACTATTGTTCAATGGAAAAACTCACCGGCAACAACAAGTACAAATGTAGCGAATGCGACGAGCTCCGCGATGCTGAGAAGAGTGTGATTATAGAGACGACCCCCAAATATCTGATACTTGTATTAAAGAACTTCGAGTAAGTAACTTGCTTGAAAACTTTAATATTTTTCACTTGTTATTGCACATTAAGGCATAGTGCTACATCATTTAAAAATCGAAAATGATTTTTTTTTAAAATCGGCTCGGGCTGGACTTGAAAAGGCATCGTCAGCGTTCCGTGCTCTACTAATTGAGCTACCGTAAGTCAATTACTAGAGCAACAGCTTACGCTGACGATGCCTTTCCAACTCCTCCCCAATCCAATTTATTTTTTTTTTTTTTTTTTTTTTTTTTTTTTTTTTTTTTTTTCTTTTAAGTCGAAATTTTTTTTCAATTTTTAAATGAAGTAACTTGCTTTCACTGTTTGTTTAGCACTAATGTCTTACTGGTCTTAAGACGACGGTTTAAGGCGTATCGATGGCTTTAACGACAGTAACAATAAAAATCCAAAACATAAAAGATTATATATCTTATAAGCAATTATAAAAAATAAACATTTTTTTAAGTAATTTATATTAGATTTAATAATAAGCATAGTAGATACGTGAAAACTTTAAAATTAAAATCTGATATTAAAATAACACATTGATTTACACATTCAAAAGGAATAAAATCAAAAATGCCACGGACACAAGATTGTGCAATATGGTTCCTTATTTAGAAAAACATCTTATGCGCAATATGAATAAGGGTGGAGAGGTGCATATATCAATAAGTTGAGAAAATTCGACGATGAGGCGTAGGACTCGGTAGCTCAATTGGTAGAGCAACAGCACGGAAAGCTGACGATGCCGGTTCAAGTCCTGCCCGAGTCGAAAATTTTTTCAATTTATATTCGATTTTTAAAACATCTTATTCTAAATTACTGATGATAACCAAGAACGACGGCTTTACGTGCTCTGGGTGTTAAACGGTGAATCGTAGAGACGTGTAAAATGTGTTTATTTTAATAAATTAAATGTTATGCTGCTCCATCTACAAACTGTCGATACCGATTTCTATAAAAAGTAACTTCGAGTAAGTAACGTACGAAAGTCTAAATACATGAATATTAATTTTAAATAGGTTTCCACTAATGAACATTTTCACGATAGCACGCTAATCATACTAATATACTAGCTGTTGCGACTTCGCCGCTAAGTATATTTATTTTGGGCATCCAAATTCTAAAAACTGCAAACCTTTAATATTTATAAACTTAAGCTCTTTCCCACGACATTGGTCGCGCTGTTGTTCGGGTCCCGTCGTTCTTGCAAGTTAATCTAACAAGATAGACATATAGTGTCGCGGTCATTTTTTTAGATAATTTAAAGAGGAATAATTCTTTAATACATTTTTTGTGGGTATCTGGAACTGTTTACGCAGCGTTTGCATCGAAAACCCAGCGAAATGAATAATTTCTCCTGTTTTTTTTTATATTTCTCGCTATTTCTTCGTCCCTATTAGTCACAGCGCGCTTTATAGCCTGGAAATTTTTCAATTCGAACCAGTAGTTCCTGAGATTAGCGCGTTCAAACAAACGAACAAACTCGTCAGCTTTACATGTTATTATAGTTAGAAATCGTGTTTACTTTATCTCGATGACATATATATTATTGTTTCTTTAGTGGTAACTATTTCAGCAACACTCGAAGCGGCATTATATGATTTTTTTATTCGATTTCAGATTCGACATCAAAATGCAGGTACAAGCGAAACTAATGCATTCGGTCGTGTACAACCGAACGATAACGTTACCCGCCGTGCGACAGGATCGAAATTCGTACGTGCTATTCGCAGCGGTGATTCACGAAGGTCAGACCCTGGACTCGGGCCACTATTACACGGTCGCCAAGGACAACGACCAGTGGTACAAATACGACGACGACGTTGTCACCTTGAGCGATGACATGGAACTCGGGAGATTACCACGGGACAGCACGCCGTACATTCTGTTCTATCGCCGCTCGGACGTGGAGGAAAGCTCGGCGCCCACCTTCGACAACCTACCCCCCAGTACGCAGGAGAAGATCCTTTCACACAACAAGAATTACGTCGAGTCCGTTCGACAGAAACACATCAGCCGCCCATGACGGCTAAGATCCGATAAGTATATAGACTTTTCCGTATTGGATTATGATAAGTGATATAACCTAGTGTATATAGTGGTATACTTGATCTTATTAGTACCAGGTGTTATAACCGTCACGATATGTATCGATTCGATTTATACAATTTCATTAACCTTTAATGTTTTAACGTTTGGACCATAGTTGACTAGAATGTGTATTTATAATAGATTTAAATTTTGTTTCAAATATCACTGAAAAATCAATTCGATTTTGCAGTGTCCTGTTATGTTTTTTTATCGTTACCTGTGTTACAAGAGTATTGGTTAACTTGACATTGGCTACTTTTAGCACTTTTTTGTTATTTATAATGATATTATAATCGACAAAATGTTTATAAAATAATGAATAAAAAGTAAGGCGTATACATACTTTGTATCTACTAAATTTAAGTTGTGTCGCAGAAGCATTAGTCAACATTCCTGTTTAATTTGAATTCGATCTTACATTCGTAAATACTTTAAGGTTTTTTACCTCTAGAAACATTAATTCAGACGGGAGAACACGAATAGTAATTTTTATAATGCTATTATTTACAATATGTGCTTTATAAAAGACAATGGAAATCAATTTACATGTAATATGGTGGAAAATATTAACAAAAAGTTTTAATTTTATTAAAAAATGTATTTGTTTATTATGCTTCTGCAACATATATGCAACACAAACATATATCTATATTAGTATAGTTATGTATAAGATAATTTTAAAGATATTAATTAAATTAAAATTGATTATTCGAGATTTAACAGTAAATGAAATAAACTGATCATAAGAAATTCTCTACATTCATTATTAGTTATAATAAAGTATATTTCTAAGTACCCACGGTGACACCAATGAGGAGGATAACGTTGGCAATATACTGGACTTACTTTGGGTTTGAATCCCGGTCAAATAAGGGCCAAGAACAGCGCAGGTGTAGACAGGAAATGTGTTGTCACGCAATTAAATTCTGGATTTTATGTTTGTTGGAATGCCGGAGAAATATTTAAGTTTCGTACCTCGTCTCGTGAATCTGTGTGACACAGTTGAGTGTGTGTGGGAAAGTTGTTTGTGTGTGTGTAACATGAGTGTTTAACACATTGATGCTGAATTCACATATTAAACCACCCATAGTTCAATATTTCTAATATTGGAAAATTAAGCAAACATTATTTTTTTATAAACATTTATTAAAAACAACAATGACTAATAATTCCAAACCATAAACTTTTAAACTATACAGTTGTTATAGACCAACAATTTTTCCACCTAAGTTGTTCAGTTTTTCCGAAGCTGCTCGGGTTATCGAATTGAATATTGTTCCTGGGACCTGAAATTAAAACAATCTTTAAATGTTAAGTACACAGTACTTTGTATAAAAATGTCTACTGTTACCTGTTGTTAAATTATTCGTATGCGCATTTCAGGTTATATGGTGAAATAACAAAATTAGAGAAAATATATACTTCGAGAAATATACTCATATCGATGTCAAAAGAATAGTAGTTTACTACAAATTAGAAAAAGAAGTAAAAACTTAAATAAATATGTATAAAAAAAACCTCACTGTCCAAAGAATATAATCCTTTGCTTACCCCTAATAAAGAGTTAATGAAATTAGCAAATCCTTCCGCCCCTCCGACTATGGCGCGACCGGCGCTGTAGAATTTATCACCATCGTTTCCATATTTCTCCTCCTCTCTTATCGTGTCAACTATGGGTTTGGGCTACAAAAAAATTCATTACAATATAAAATACTGTCTGTAGTTTAGGCGAGAAGTACACATTTAAATAAAACACTAACGGTTTAAAACGCGATATATATTATAGAAACACCCTCTACCTTTAGTTTCCCCGTGACCACGGCTGCTGCAAAGCATCCGAATCCGTCGGGCCGTAGTTAAAATAACGTTTAAATAAGTTTAACTAATAAATATCGCGTTTTATACCGTAAGTGTTTTACTTAACTGTTAACAATGTGGTATTAACTTTGAATGTACTTTATATAATATTCTCGTGTCGCAGTGTTCGTTACCGTACCATAGAAATGCTATATATTAAATCAGTAGGTCTGAAAATCGGGTACCATTTCACATATCCCAAGGCGATAAGCACTATCTACCCCTAAGATTTATTTTTAGACAAATTTATTATCTGAATTATAAATTTATTTTATCTAAATTTTCACCGATTTATCATCAATCTCTATTGTTTCATAGGTGTGTTAATATTTAAATTTTTTCGTCCCGCTCGTTAACTGATTATTATGAATTATCCTTTGCCCCCCTAGGCTCTACCAGTTGCAATAAATTGTTATTTTAAGTGCAAAACAACGTATCCTATTTCTATAACTATCAGCTGTTAATTGGAATAAATTTGTATAATAACGTTTTGCGCCGACTACATGTTATTTAGGGTATGTAGTTGCCGCAGCACCAGTTGAATACCTGAAGGAATCCTGCTGCAACGTGTTGAACATTCTCCTTCGTGGTCAGCGCTTTGCTTCCGAACCCTTCTGATTCTAAAAGAGCGCCTTCAACTTTCGTTCCGTATCCTAACTGCAAATTTATAACTCGTATAATATAAATATATACGGAATAGAGAATAACCGAACAAAAAGAGACAAAAGGCCTGTGACGTCATAAATTAAAAAAAAAAGTATTTAGTCGTAACCCACAATCGTGACCTCTACAGCACTGTTAATAGCGTAGACTAAACACGATTCGCTTTGGCCGGGTCTGAAACGGGAATGGATACATTGGGAGTCATACAAACGTGTTCCCAGGACTCCCCCAAAAGCACAGTAGCGGGCTGATGGTGTGTTTATTGGTACAGGCTATTGTCTCCGAGGAGGTTGCAGTACGATTTACCACACTCCCCATGTCACTATTGCCCGACGTGGGCGTGCATTGGGTATTCACACCATCAGTTTGAAAAAAGGTTAGGTACAAGGTCCTAAGTTTGAATTTCATGGAAACAATTTATTGTTTTTATTGGACAAGGCGCAGTTTTATCAATTCCTTAATGTAATGGTAGCAATGGTACGGCTAATAATTAACAGATCGTGGGGTTCGCTCCCCACCGGATCTAACTTTTCTAATCAATTAACATTTTTCTGAAATAGGTTGCATGTCTGGAAATCTAGATATTAAATAGATGGTATAGTAGGAGTAGCGCCTACACATGAAAAAAGCCGTCCAGTAGGTATTATCGCGTTTCATTTTCTCATATAGCATCCAGTGAACTATGTTTGTCTGTCCTCTTTTAACATCATAAAAATAAATAAAACTTGTTTTAATTACCTTAGTTTTGTAATCGAGTAGACTTTTTGCGGCATCATACTTATGGGACAGAGGTCCAACTTTATTTGACACCGTGTCCACACCAGGATGGTTCTCAGGCAGTAAAGGTGCTGCAAGGTGGACATCAGACGTTGCTTGATACCCTGGTTCCTTGTACACTGGAAGATCGATCTTAATGGGATAATCAACTGGTGTTGAAACTGTGCTCGTCGCGTAAATCGTCAACAGTAAAAGAACTTGCATTCTAAAAAAAAGATATACAGACTTCATTCTTCAAACTTCTTTAGGAATTACTTAAGTCCTATAATCTACACTAATAATATAAAGCTAAAGATTTTATTTGTTTAAACGTGCTAATCTCAGGAAGTACTGGTTCGAATTCCAAATTATATTTGTTTTTTCGAGGTAGGTTTTAGGCTTTATTTACTATTAGGAGCCAAGAAACAGGTGAAAAATATTCATCTTTGAGTGTCAACCGTTCTACTGTGTCGTGCGCTGAAAAAACGGTTCAAATAACCAAATCATAAAATTATTATTTACCATTAAATGAACTAATAAAATGTCTGCGACAGTATCTTTTAAGAATAACTCGCAACAACGAGGGGTGCGGACGACTTTATGAAAATAAAATAAAATGTACTTTATTCTCTTTAAAATATTAAAAAAATATTTAGATTCGTCAAAAATGTTTTTTTCGTTTGTCTGTCTGTGCGTCGTGATTCTACAGAGTATTCAAAAGAGCAACATAACAGAGAAGAACACCCAAGAAACTCAGTCCGGCTTTTTTAAATATGTCTTAAAAACTAATACATTTCTGTAAGTTTACTCACAGGAGCAATTCATATTACTGCCAGTATGGTCGTTATAAAAATAAATATGATACCCATACTATATATTAAGAAAGTCCTAACTAAAACGAGTCGTATTGGCGTAACATATGGCTTTGTCGCTAAGCATATTTCATTAACAAGCACCGCGTTTTGTTAATAAAAATTATCTATCGCCCAATAAAAGATCTTCGAAATTTTTATCAGAGTTTACTTTAATAAGTTTTATCTGTTTCGATCTGATGTATCTATAGATTAATAACATAAGTAATTAACTTATGGACATCAAAAATCTATCAAATACAATATTGACGTGCTCATTTGAAAACCATATTGTCAGATAATTTTACACACTTTCGCCTAATGCTAGTTTTGTATCTAATGTAATAAATATTAAATTATATAAATCACATAAATTATAGTGATAATGGAAAATATGCCAGAAATCACACGATGTTTCGGGGTATTCCCCCCAAAGTACGCCACATATCTGATATCATTGTTCGGTCTCGGTTTGGGATTGTTAGGCCTGGCTGGTATAATCCTATACGGTCTTGTGGAACAGACGATAACTGCGTTCTTCTTTAAATCGAATACAGTTCCAGTCGATGATTCAGTTAAGAAGTGTGTGCTGCTGACTATAGGACTCTCATCTCTACTTCTTACGTCAGCTAGCTTCCTAATGTTTTTGGGGGCGACCTCTGGTAACGCTGGACCACTCGCGGTGTCTATCTGGATCATATTTATAATGAATTTGATACTTATATCGCTCTGTATCGCAGCTCCACTCTCTTGTTTCTTTATGGAGTCAATGTGCGTGCTAAAAAAACTATCTAACCTCGCCATGATTTGCCTGTACTTAGTTGTAATGGTCTTTTTAGAAATATGGGTGTACTTTATGGTAGTCGCGAATGCTTATCTTATGGAAATTAGTTGAATAAACTTTTACTTTTACCGATACATCAACAAAGGAACTAATTTTGAATATAACTTTTAAAAGCTTTTTAATCTATACTAATATTATAAAGCTGTAGAGTACGTTTGTTTATTTGAACGCGCTAATCTCAGGAACTATTGGTTCGAATTGAAAAATTCCTTTTGTGTTGGTATATGATAGTTTTATATACATATATATATATAATACAACCAAAGATACAGCGGGAAATGTGAAAAAAAAATGGGAAAATTATTCATCATTATGGGTTACTGAGGCGTACGCTGCAAAAACGGTTTAAGATACCCAAAAGATATGTATGAAAGAATGATTCCTCTTTAAATGATTTTAAAAATGTTCATGGCGCTATATGTCTATCTTTTAAGATTAACTTGTAGGAAAGACGGAAAGGGACGCGACCAACGTCGTGGGTTTTTAAAGGGTTGCAAAAACCAATTTGGTTGCCCAAAATAAATGTTTCGCGAACGAAATCGCTGGCACAGCTAGTAATTAATAAAGACGAGGAGGAGTTGGAACTTCATTTGTTTTTCCAAACCTCCTGGTTAGGATTACTTTAAGTAAGCAGTTATTTAACATGAAATTATTACACACATTATTTAAATAAAACACTAACGGTTTAAAACGCGATACATTAGTTAAACTTATTTGAAAATGATTTTTAACTTCGGCCCGACGTTTCGGATGCTTTGCAGCAGCCGTGACCTGTGACCACGGCCGAAAAATGTTTTATTTAAATGTGTACTACTCCCGTAAACTATAGACAGTATTTACACACATTATGCTAATGCCCTTGACTAATTGATTATAATTATGGACATAATTTATCTAATGGGCATATTTTAAAGTCTATGTAAAAAAATCTACAGTTTACACACAGCCTTTGTAAAAACTATAATGCAGCGTAATTTTATATAGATTAAAATTTTAAAGTGGTGCACGTTACTCATTATTCGTTTTAAATTAAAAATTAATGTTTACATATTCAATTACCTGTACCTTTGAGAATCAAAATTTATTTGTATGAAAAACACTTTGCTTATTATCTTGTATTCGCATAACCTACTTAAATTATACTGTATGTACATTTCTTAAAATTATGTATTAAAATTACAAAAAAATGTTTCAAATATTAATTGTCACTTACTTTGTTGATGCACCTTGTATGTAAACAGAATTTTGCGTGTGCAGTGATTAAGTAACGCAGCACTAATATCTGATGGTATTCGGCAAGCAGTGGTTGAGAGTCGCCTACTTTCACAAGTTACGTCACTGAGCCTTGGCAGTTGATACTACCAATGTGGTATGGTGATTCCTAGATATCGCAACGTACTCATGTAACGGGGATCCTTGAATACATAAATTGTTACCCAATGACTTAATACCTAAAAAACGATACATTCATACAATATTTATAAGGAACTTAAAAAATAACACATCTATTTTAGTGGGCTGAAGTGTCTATTATAAAATTCTTCTTCGGGGGCCTCAGATATTATTCACTTTTTTTATATTCAATTAAATATAATAAATAAATGACTTAAGAACATATGGTAAAGTGCGACAAAGCTTGGTAAGCTTCAATTAAATTTTGTGATCTATATTGAAAAAAATATATACATATAAAATTATAGAGAACGAACCTTCTATAAACAATCTTTGCATAACGTGGTTTTTATCGTGAAATACACATAAATAAACGTTAGCACATTTTTTCCAGGTTCCACACATTATCTTAATAATATTTTTTTTCCTATTTTACCGTGCTCCCCATTTTAAAAGTTCCCGCCCCTTTGATTCATTTGCTAGACGTTAGGTTAAACCACAGACTTGTACAAGAAATATTGAAACCGTTTAAGTTATCTGTAAAATAAGTATAAATAAATGGTATTATAGTATTTATACGTCTGTGGTTGATTTGATTATCGCTATTAATACTTTTTACCGGGCCATTTAATTCTTGTTTTAACAATTGTATGGGTTTTGATAAACATTTTTACTAATTCTTCTTCTTTTTAATTAGTTTTTTTTTATACCTTTGTCATATGATTACATCTGTAGTCATTTTGACAATATACATTTTATTTAAAGCCACCTTTTGGCATACATACAAAAAAAATTTAATCTGTGCTTTTGGCGGTTGTAACTTGTAATGTTTTTCTAAAAATGTTAACATTGTTTAATGTTTATAGGAAATAAATAGACTTTCAGAAAATTTGTTGACTGAATACTTATTATTTTGTATGTTATATAGTAATATATTGTTGAAGTAATGCGCTCCAATACTGTATAGTGTAGTTTTATTGTGTAACGTGGTTCACATTACGATGGCCGAATCCTGTTCCAGAGGCCAAAACAACTGGTTTACAAAATAAATATTATGCAAGGACTTTTGTATAGTTGCTAAGAGCAATAAGAGTTAAAGTGATTAACTTTGGTCATTTCTTGTAAACTTCAGCTTCCAAAATGGGAAGGATCAATAATTCCTTCCTATGGGGCATTTTAGCTGCGTCAGCAACTTGGAGTATTTCGTTGTATCTATACTGGTTGCTGAATATGAGCGGTAAGTTTTAACGTAACACATTGTAAAATATTTCTTGAATTTCTTTCTCTATATAAATAGGACATTTTTAGTTACATATGCTTATTAAAAGTCCTAAAGTCGCACTTTGTTTCAATATTTCTGTAATGTTTTAAGGATGAAGTTTAAATTATCAATAAATCTATTTCTATAGTATAGTTAACTTTTGTAATAGAAATAGGAAAAAAATTCTTTGATCAAAGTAGAATATTTTAAGGGCTTTGAAATAAATTTGTAGGTGAAGGTATAATAAAAAAATGCAGAGAGCAGAATACAATACAGACTAGTAAATACAGAAGAAAAGTATAGACTGAAAAACAATGATAAATCTATTGCAGCTTTAGAAGGCAAGAATCTCTTATATGACAATCCTAAAGCAAATAAAATGTACGCCAACAAACTATGGAAGAATCATAGAGATCATTCTGAGTATTTGAGAAAAATGATGCTAAAAGAAAAATTCGCTCGTCAATTTGATCAGAAACCAATTGCCAAAGTGGATAAGAGTTTGGGTAAATACATTTGGAACTTAAATAGATAATTCTCAAATAAATTATAATAGAGTGAATCTCAATAGTAACTATAAAACGGATAGAACTCTAACCCACAAACAACAATACACCATGCTTGACTAATCATTCTGATAGAACATTCATCAAATTTCTTATAATTTAACATTACCATCAGACTTGGTTACCAAGATTTGTGACATAAATTGTTATTTTGTCTCCATAATATTAAAGCTACAATTTATACATTTATAGAAAACCAATTTGGTCTGATACACAATGTGGAAGATGTAAGACTGAGAGAAAAGGGATACAATGTGCACGCTTTTAATACACTTATCTCCCAGCGGATTGGAAATCATAGGGAAATACCTGATACAAGAAATAAATTGTAAGTGGTTTACAATATTCATGTACAAATTGCAAAAAAACATATACATATTTAGCACTAATAGTATAAAAAATATACCCAAGGGAATAAAAGCCACCTTTTTTGTTACAATATGTTGCATGATGTTTGTTGCAAAATTAATTAATATAAATTAATAAAGCTATGTTTATAACATTTGTGAACATATTTTTATATAATCTCAATGAACATAGTGATAGTCTTATGGAAATGGAATTCAACGTCCATAACAGAAAAATGTCCTATCTAATCCTGTGTCTAATTAATGTCCACTACACAACACACACACAGAAACAAGTTTGTTTTATTTTTCCTGAAAAGTTACGTTGTTGTGTCAATATTAATCTGCATGAATTCAAAAGTGCATATTATAGACAGCTATTAAATAGAACTGTCTCATATATTACAGATGCAAGTCCCAAAGATATCCAGAGAAACTTCCCAAAGCCTCAATAATAATCTGCTTCTACAATGAGCACTTTGAAACACTAATGAGATCAGTGCATTCAATCCTGGACCGGACAGACCAAAGACATTTGAAGGAGATAATATTAATAGATGACTTCAGCGATATTGATGATTTACACATTGATGTACAAAAGGCGGTCAACGAGTTGAATAATAGGATGAGGAAAGAAGAGGAAATGCTAGAAACAAACAATATAGATGGAGATAATATAGTTGATTATATTAATGATGATAACGGAGATGCAAAGAAGACAACCGACAGTCACACAGCGAAGCTATCAAAGAGTGGCTTGAATATAAGATTGCTAAGAACAAGTAAACGGGAAGGTCTGATAAGAGCAAGATTGTATGGTGCTGATAATAGTGTGGGTGAGGTGGGTATTATTATTATTTTTCTTTCGGGGGCACCTATGGTAGGAAGAGTGTTCAGTCCATGTTATCAGCTGACCATTTCACCCATTTCCCCATTTCCTCCTTGCAGAGGTTTCGGGTCATCCAACTCTCCCCATGTCCCCTTCAAACCTTCCAGTTTGCTTTCAGAATCTTATTATTTTTTCCATCTTTTTTCCAGTGAGGTGGGTATGTTTATCGATATAGTCTTGGAAACATTATGTTTTTTAAATTCCCTTAACTAAACTACTTATCGTCATTTTAGATATGTACATAAATATCTTACTTTATATTCCACCTATGTACCTTGGAAGTGGAAATTGTTAACATTTGGTTTTGTTACAGCCTTATTGGCTGTAAAAAAGCTAGACAGTAGAAAGTAAAGTACAGTGGTTAGTCAATTCAATTTGAACTGAAAATAATAATTAAATAATGTCAGATTGTATGTAATTTTTCTATGCATACATTTCATTAAAACAAAAGAGCCCATATTGTTACACTGATTTTTTCATATATTCCATACAAACTACACCGTCCCGTGGTTCTTTGTAAGTGAATTAATCAGTTTTTTGGTTTCTTGAACAGTTTTCCCAGCGCACACAACGGAAATCCTCAAATGCATACTTTTTTTATACCACTATTCCTTGCGTTTCCCTACTATTAGTCGCAGGCTGATGTTTCAAGCCCCGATAAAATCCCTAACCAACAAATATTTTTTCTATTTGAACCGTTCAAACAACGTCTTTATAATATTAGTGTCATTAGTATGTTTTGTAGCCCAACATTTTAATTTTGTTCTGGTCTTTTAAATAAAAAACTTTTACGGGTTAAAAACCGGAAAATTTTTTTAAACTTTTTTGAAAAAATTTTTTTCCCCCCCCCCCCCCCCCCCCCCCCCCCCCCCCCCCCCCCGGGGGGGGGGGGGGGAACCCCCCCAAAAATTTTTTTTTTTTTTTCCCTTTTTTTCCCTTTTTTTTTTTTTTTTTTTTTTTTTTTTTTCCCCCCCCCCTTTTTCCCCCTCCTAGTTGTGGTCTGTTTAACATTGACTTGTAATGGTATTTTATGGAGAAAAATGTCCCATATATACAACAACAGAGACTTATGGTGCTTTAATGAGTTTTCTATGGTTTATAAAGGATAATATTTTGCAGGTTCTAATATTCCTGGATTCCCACATCGAGGTCAATATGAATTGGTTGCCTCCCTTACTTTCGCGCTTGTCGGAAGGTGTGGACGGGGTAACAAACCGCTACTCCTCACACGTAGTGGCACCGATTATTGATGTCATCAATGCGGATACCTTCGATTACTCGCCAAGTCCACTTGTTAGGGGTGGCTTTAACTGGGGACTGCATTTCAAGTGGGATGGCTTGCCAAAGGGTACATTGAAAGGTAAAAACCATGCAATTTGTATTGAGTATTCTATAGCCCTGTATAACGCGTTGCGTTTAGTTAACGGGGCTCTGGATCGCAAGGAAACGTGAAGAATTCTTCAATACATTTATTTATAGACTTGTGAACATCAATATAGTTGAAAATTAAAAACTCTAAATTTACTCTTACTATCAGTTCCGAAATCAACGGCGCAATATATAGCTTATTATTAACGGGTTGTGGATTCGATTCCCATCGGGTACAATATGTTTCTAATCAATTTTTGTAAATGCAGGAATTCGTCTGGAATACTTGATGTTACATAGTAGGAATACGGATGCAAAGGCCTTCAGATGTTATATGGCTGGAGTATTTTACCCTCCATGCTTGTGAGCATATATGTACTTTATACTATAGGTTAAGTTTCGAATATTGCGTTACGATTATTCGAATCAATAATATCTAATTACAGATGATGAAGATTATGTGAAACCAATAAAAACACCAACTATCGCCGGCGGTCTGTTCGCTATTTATCGGGAGTATTTCAACAAGATAGGCAAATATGACCCGGGAATGAACCTTTGGGGTGGCGAGAATCTTGAAATATCGTTTAGGGTAAGTTCAATATTATTATACAATTATAGTCTGTATTATTATAAGGAAGAGATCAGTATTATATTGTATTGTAATTGTAGTGTATAACAGTTTAGCGTATACTCCCGAGTTTCGGGGTTACCCAGACGGTTGCGTATAACAGTTCGGAAAAGTATAAGTGCTTGTGTTTGCTGAAGTTATGCTGTAGAGTTAACAGCTTAAAGGTTAAGATTAAGAGGAAGGCAAAGTACCCAACCCCCAAGAGTAATGATTTATTTCCTATTAATATCGCTCATATATAATTTACAAGAAAGGTAGAAAATAGGACGTCACTAAACTAACCTTTAAATTTGCTTTTAATAAAAACATGATTGAGCACGACCTGAACGTGAGAATTATGCTAGCTATGCTATAAAATAATATTATTATAAAAATATAGTAATTTTGTTCGGACGTTTGTCCGTACAGTAATTAAAATATAAATATATACATCTATATGTATACATAAGCCACTAGAAGAATTTAAATAATAAAATTAATATCTTAAATTTACACAAAAAATTCGCCGTTATAATTACATATCGTTAAGATTGTAAAATGATTTTAATGTTTATAAATTAAAAATAAATTACAGTTAATTTAGATTTTTTTATTTGTGTAGGGTGTATGACGTCATTTGTGGGTAAAAATGTGCATAAGTGCATCTATTTTGCATGAACTGCACCAATGTGACCACATATGACGTCACGTGTATTTACGCTTCACAACGTGGTTCTAAGATGTTCAAAGACTAATAAATAAAATTTGATTTGTGATCATATAAGTATCCTTAAAGATAATTTCAACACACTTGTCTCCCTATGACCACGGCTGCTGCAAAGCATCCGAAATGACGGCCGTAGTTATAGTTTGTAAACAAGTTTAACTGACATATTTCGCTTTTTAAACCGTTAAAGTATTTTATTGAAATGTAATAGACTTTCTAAACATTTGACGATTGTTTTGAATTTTTCGAAATTTTTCGAAATTTTTTTGAAAAATTTATTGCGTAGACGCAAATGAAATTCAAGGGTAGAAACTTATGTTTTTTTTTATTACACCATAAAGGAGATAATTACATGATGTAAATTAACATTTGAATTTGTTTGTAGATATGGATGTGCGGTGGTAGTCTGGAGTTGATTCCCTGCAGCCGAGTCGGTCATGTATTTAGGAAACGTAGACCTTATGGCCTAGGTGATAAGGAAGACTTTATGCTACACAACTCGATGCGCATGGCACGCGTATGGATGGATGAATATGTTGTAAGTATAATTATATGACTGCCTCTGTAGCCAAATGTTTTAACGTGTTGCCTAAGTTGTATGTTAATCCCGAGAGGTCCTGGATTCAAATCCCAGGGAAACAATAGATGGGACGGGCAGGGCACAGAAGTCTGATGAAGAACTTGCCTGTAGAGAGCCGATAAGTGAAAGTGACACAGAAATGTGTTCTCCCTTGGGGGAAATCGGGAATTCACTTACTCACACACTAACATTGAATTCTATATTGTCTTGAGAAAGTTGTGAAATTCTCAAAGTTTTTGAATGCTGGGGCTATCTCTCAATAGTTTCTTTCTAGAAAGGGCCCTGTTTTCCAGTTCTTCATTTTATTTATTATGTGCACGACTGTATTGAAATTGAAAAACATATTCGACTTTGTCTGCGCGCCTTTGTCTCATAGAATTATATATAACTAGCTGTGCCCGCGACTTCGTTCGCGTGGAAAAGTGACTTGGGGTAGAATTTTTAATTATTTAGGCCGTTTATTAATTTATGTAATTGCGCATTTATCGCAGCCAATCTATGTTGTTACTGCTACTTTGCCGCAACACTCTCACCTCACATCAATCCTACTCTAACTCCCACTCTCATTCATACACTCACTCCCACTCCTATTCCTATTCCTAAAGAAGAAAGTTTCATTGTTCTAGCTTCAAAAACCACGAATTTCCATACAAACTTTCACCCCCTCTTTTAACCCCTTACAACCCCCTTTTCTCAATAAAAAGTAGCCTATGTCCTATCCTGTCTGTCGTGTCAGGGTCTAGACCATATGTGTACCAATTTTCAGTCAAATCCGATTAGTAGTTTTGGCGTGAAAGAGTAACAGACAGCGCAGTTACATTCGCATTTATAATATTAGTAAGGATAATCATAAAATTTTACATTATTTACACCAGTGCCATCTCTCTTACCTATACTTCTGTTTTCATACCTATAGTTTTAAATTACAGAATAAAGTGATAGAGCAGAACCCGTCAGCTGCTCACGTATCGATAGGTGATATATCAGAGCGTCACCAGCTACGGAAAGACCTCAACTGCAAGTCTTTCAAATGGTATCTGGAGAATGTGTACCCAGAACTGGAATCTGGTGAAGACACGATTGCTAAGAAGAGGATACAAGCTCTCAATGACCCTGAAAAAAATAAGTTTCAACCGTGGCATTCTAGGTAAGTTAGGTTGTTTACCTATACATGAAAAATGCTTTTCATATTAATGTTAATGTGGATTTTAATACTAACACTGCCAGCGACTTTGTACGCGTAAAGTAGTTAATTTAGGCATCAACATTTATTTTTGCAAACCTCCTCATCGTTATCAATTTGCTGTCACCCACGACACGAAATTGTCCGCGTCCCGTCGTTCTTTGCAAGTTAATCTTTAAAGATAAAAATAAAGTTAAAAAAATGTTCGCGGACATTTTTTTAGATCATTCAAAGAGAAATCATTATTTAAATAAAACACTTTAACGGTTTAAAACGCGATATATTAGTTGCAGAAAATGATTTTTCTTCGGCTATTTCGGATGCTCTGCAGCAGCCGTGGTCACGGGGAGACTACCTAAAGAACTAATATATCGCGTTTTAAACCATTAAAGTGTTTTATTTAGATGAATAATTTTCTCCAATTCATATTTCCCACTCTTCGCCCCTATCGGTCGCAGCGTGAAGTTTTATAGCCTAAAGCATTCCTCGATAAATCCTCTAATCAACACAAATAGTTCAAACCAGATGAGATATCATTGGTGCAGACAGTATTTACAAAGCGACTACATCTTGTATTACAGGAAGCGTAACTATACAGACTCGTACCAAATCCGACTGAAGAACACGACTCTGTGCATACAAAGTGCTAAAGATATCAAGACTAAAGGCGGCGGACTGGTACTAGCTAATTGCATCAGGACTCTTAACCAGGTTATTATGTAAATTATAAATCGATTTTAGATTAAAAAGGGTTACGACACAAGCAGGACTGGCATCCACAGGTTCCCTGCTTTAACCAATTGAGCTACCGAGTCCTGACAGTTAGTGAGCTGACCTCAATATAACTGTTGCTTGGATACAAATAGTCTTTTTTTTTTCAGATGTGGTTTGAAACAGACCGAAGTGAGTTGGTTCTAGGGCGTACCTTATGCTTAGACGCGGTGAACAATATATCACCGTTACTTGGGAAGTGCCACGAATTAGGAAGTACACAGGAGTGGAAACACAAGGGATCGGTAAGAACTGAACAATAAAACTACAAACCTACTGCGTAAAAACCATCAGGATATAATATTTATTAAAGTGTGTTTTTTCTAACTTGTCATTTTGTTCAACAAACATACAATTTACATAATATCGGAGTTTTATGACAAGGTATACTTTGATTTACACTAAAAACACTTTATAGTTGTGTTTGCGCTAGCGTAGCAGATTTTACTTGGACCTTGGGACACCTTCCATCTTTAACCCCCGCGACCACGATTGCAAAGCATTCGAAATATCCAACCATAGTTCTTAATAAGTTTAACTGATGCATTTCGCGTTTTAAACCGTTTGTTATCTAAATGTGTATCAATCGGTGACCAGGAAAACTATATTGTTGACAAAACTTTGGGAATAATGTAAGAAATTATATTTCAGGCTGGAAGCCCCATATATAACACAGCGGCTGGTATGTGCTTAGGCGTAGAACGGGCGTATCGCAACGAGCCAATCCTCATGGTGATCTGCGACAACGAGTCGAAACATCAATGGGATTTCATCAGATCGTAACTGCTTCGGCGGAATAACATAACGACAATACCCAGCGTAAAATAAGGTGCAACACTAGTGTTCGAATGTAGGACGTCACTAGGTAAACAGATTATAAATGTTTAGACTAGGTTGTCTGTTAAAAGGGTTGTGTAGTCTGTGTATATTTTGTTTTAGAGACTATTATCTAAATTAACACAGATTTGTGCAGTATTTATTTAGTATCATTAGATTCTTAGTTTGATTTTCGCCTGGAATTCATATTGGCTTGAAAATCTCTTCTATTTTAATTTCTATATAAAAATCCTTAAAATTAAACTAACTTGGAATCTCAGACATATTATGAATCGCATTTCTTCTATTATGTTTAAAGACTGTGGCGAGTGAGAGATTTATAGAAAATAATATTAGTAAATTATATGATTATATTTGATTAAGATAGCGTGGAGTTAACGCATTGGATAATTGAAAAGACAGTTTCGTTTATATCGAGATATTGTTAACATTATTAACAGTGCCATCTGGCGGAAAATGTGAGTACTAAATCTTATATTACCAAGAAAAATATTGTCATTGTATTAAATAATGCACACCTTCCATATTATAACGTTTATTTGTAATGGTGTATTATATTCTTATCTAATATGAGGCTGCTAGAGACAGAGTGGCCTAATAACAATAAACTTGATTTTTAATAAGGAGGAAAATAAAAAACGTGCAATTAACATAGGCATACAAAACTTTGTACTATTATTTGTGTAAAAATTATGTTAACAATTTTCGGTCACAGAAGAAGAGATTAACATTTTTACACTATGAAAATATAAATAAATCAAGTCATCAAATTGAACTTAGACTACGCTGCCTCTAGCGGCTTCATGTATTACATATATATACTAACTCAGTGCTGTGTACTATGATATGTTGGTGTATGAAGCGAATATACAAAAACGCATAGATTACTAATCAGTCTATGAAAGAAATTATTTTTTATGAATTAGGTAAATTTATATACCTATTATAAATTATATGTTTACAGCGTTGTCATAAAAACATCTTTTAAATGCATTTTCTAGTATCCAATAAGTCATCCTGTAGGCAAAACAAACGCCATTGGTGTACATTTTAATCGAACCCTGTAAAGATTGGCATATTTTTGGAAATTTTTGTTTTAACTAAAATTATACAGATTAATAGTTGTATAGACATATATGAATATTGTATATATATATTTGTTTTATAAGCTTTGTGAAATATTTAAAAGATCGCATATATAGATCTGCTTTCAATAAATCTAAATAGTTAAGTAAATAAATTTAAAATATAGATTTAAAAAATACGTCACGGACGGGACTTGAAGCGGCATCCGTGCCGCTCTAACGAATTGAGCTACCGTTACCTAGACGTCATCGTCGAATCTCTTCGACGGACATCAACGTGAGAAAAATTATTTCAATAGTTTAGTAAATGTTGTATTGCAAATTTTAGTAAGAAAAAACTGATAAAGTCTGGTTGATCGAGCTCATCATCTGATGAGGCGATATTCACCCGAATATCGCCATCATCATCATCATCAGATGATGAGCTCGATTGAGAATTGTCGACGTTGTAAGGGTTTACAACGCGACAATTCTCAATTACGACAGTCGAAACAGCTTTGCAGGATTGTCTAAAGTCTTAGGGCGTATACACACCAAGCGGTTTCGGAATACGGTCAGCCGTCCGGTTACTCGTAACATTAATAAATTGCTTTTCGTACGCACTGTCTGGGTCACAATTGTGGCGGTTACTCGAACGCGTGGTTTTATGGTTCGTTGTTCGACTGTTCCTATATACACAACGGTTAGGTTTCGATTGCCTCTCGGTTATTATGGCTGCAAAACCACTATTTTCGACAAAGTTTGTTACCCTAGTTAATATTAAACGATAGACAAATACTGTCCAGACATTTTCAACGATAATTTAAAGAAGAATATTTTTGGGTTTCTACAACCGTTTTCGCAGCGCACGCAACTCTTGGTTGTAGCGTGACGTTTAAGCCTTCCCTTATTATTGATCTACACACAAATACGTTTTACGTACTTAGCTTTATAATAATAGTATAGATAACATATTCGATCAGAATATGAACCTTCATAGTTAAACGGAAATTTCCACGGGGCAAAACAGTGACATCGCTATTCAAATGAAGATAAAGTCTTATCTATGAAATTTGTTTTTAAACCTGTTTAACAGATGGCATGATTCCATCCAGACAGATTTAGCAACTGCATTCTGTGACTGACCAGACGGCAGACCGCGTTGCGTTAAACCGCTGGCCGTAAATGGGCCCTTATTGAATGAAACTTATTTGAATGCGAAAAATAGAACATATTATTTTTTACATATATGTTATATATCCGTCCTCTTGCTTTACGTGCTACGAATCTCTGTTAAGTTTGTACATTTGATTTAGAACAATTTTAGTTCTTTTATAATATTTTCTTGTCGTACCTTCCTATACAAAGATGCTCAAAGGTAATTCGAAATAGTTATTAAGGGATGTAAAGGACTCTGATTAGGTAGAACAAACACTTTACTAATTAACTTACGAGAGACATTTACGTAATTTAGTAGAATATAGAAATTTTACAATCCAGACTTAGTTTTTGATTGACGCATTTCATTTTGTACATATGAGAATTATCGTTACTGCTAGCGTAATACCATGCTTAGACCTTCTGTAATTTGGTTTGAAATCGCTCTCGTAGTTTTTAATACATACAGACGCTTGCGCTGTTTATTACGTTTTAACCGACTTCAAAAAACGGGGTTCTCACTTCGATGCGTAAATGTGATTGTTTCTGTTAATATTTGAATGTTCGAATTCTTCTTCAAGCGTCTGTATTTTACTCGAGTAGTACACATTTAGATAAAACAATTTTAACGGTTTGAAACGCGAAATGTTTCAGTTAATTTAGTAGCCTCTCTGTGACTACGGCTGCTACCATCCGAAACGTCTTATTTAAATTGGGAACAAGTTAAAAGTGTTTTATTTACAAATGTGTGTACTAAACCGATGCGCTATTTCACTATAATTTTTAGTTCTTTCACGATCAAGTCGTTGAACTCAGCGTCATCTTTCAGAGCATGTTTATGAAGGCATGTCTCCCTCCAGTGATTTAAATTGAACATACAGCTACTTGACATGACACATGTCTAACAACGGTCTCGTGTAGTATCCCCGTAGGCGATATACAACCACTCAACATAACGAGCCCGCCGTACCTACTCAACGTCTGTCGAATAATGTCTGTCCGCATTCTTTTCCTAGTAAAACCTGAATATTTACTTGTATTAATACAACAATACCCTATAATACTTCTATAAATTTGAAACTCGGCACAAACTTCAGTGTAGAAATTATTGCATTTTTATAAAAAAACGTGGCCAAATGAGTGTTGACATATGCCAACACTCATTTGGCCAGCATGGAAATTAGGTCCCAGCTGTGGCAATAGCCACGGATCTTGGATACGTTTATCCCACGTGGTTAAGTAAATCTTAAATACTCATTTTTCTAATTTGTACAAAGAATCAAAACACTGTTGTGGTTCTGTCTTTTTTTAAGTATATAAATATTTATTGAATATATTTTATACTATTTATTTAGATGTTTTATGTGCGTTGATATTTTGTGCATAATATATTGATTAATAAAGGAATACAATCCGCTATGTCTTTATAACATCACCCACTTTGTGTTTTTATTGAGGAATTGGCAAAAATAATAAATCTATACTGTATAAAATTGAAGAGTTTCAACCCGCGACCTTATTGTTTAATTTTTGAGTTACGAAGGTGGTCATCATTTTAATGCAATTATGGGAAGATTTAATTAATAGTTATGATCGCATAATATTTTAATAAACAAGAAGCTCATTTAAAAAAATCTTGTTCATATCATGCAATGTAAGACTGATTTCGAATCATTTACCTTGGGAAGTATTCTTTAAACTCACTTAAAGGTGAACCAGATAGACTCCCTGGAAGCCTACCTAAGCCTCTGTATCGTAGACAGATTCTAAGCTTTCCTTCTGATAATATTTACAACTAACTAAATTACTTTTGCGAGCGAAACAGTCATAGAAGTGTGCGACAAAGACAGATATATTCGTGTGAGAGAGATACATATCTGTTGCCGTGTCGTTTCCATCAAACGTATTTATTATAATTATTAAAAAATAAATATCACATGAATAAGAGAAATTATATTGACGTAAGTTCGGGCTTAAGGTAATTTAATGTAAATAAAAGACAACTTTTTTGATATGTTAATCAACATTTATTTTAACATTTAAAATTACATAAAAAGAAGGCAAATTGCCTTAAAAGTCTTTGATTATTTATTATGACCTACAGAAAAGATTTCATTTATAGAGTGACAGAGAAGTAGTGACATTACTTATTTCGTATGACAATAATGATTTGGTGCCAATAGAAATTCACACAAATTACAGTAAACGTAAGATAGCAAGTTCTTAAACAACAACAAAATAACTTATATACAATCATTTTAAAATATGACTAGATTAAAATAATATCGTCACGTTCTTCTGTGTATCTTATTACAAGCGGAATTAACGAAACTCAGCTTTTATAAAGTCATGTTAAATACGCAATAGATTGAGTTATCATAATTAAATAAAACACTTAACGGTTTAAAACGCGATATATAATTAATCTTTTTGGAAAATTAGTCACCACGGCTGCTGCATAGCATCCGAAACGTCGGGCCGTTAATAATTTTCAAATAAGTTTAACTAATATATATCGCGTTTTAAACCGTTAAAATATTTTATTTAAATGTTTAATACTCGCGTACACGACAGACAGTATTGAGTTATGATATGTTAGACAAAATTTCTTACACTTGCGTTATCAATACGTAAATTCACGAGATCCAAAATGATTTTATACGTTCGCAACTTAACAGAAATCAAAGTAACGAGTAACTTAGACGTATCTTACAATAATTATAAATCTACCCCCTTTTGCGAAGCTTATAACTACATTACATGGATGAAATAATTATCGAGCGAGATCCTATGAGCAAGTGTATATTTTGACTGTCAATAAATAAATTTATTTATATATTTCTGCATAAAGAAATCTAAGTCGGAGGTAGATTTAAGACATAAATGCTCCAAAAATAAATAGGTCTACTAGGTATTATATTATCAAAAGCCATAGTAAGTAGACTGACAGTAAATAAGATTTTTATATTGTCAGAATTAGAGCCATGTATAATTTAGGATTAGGTTTCAGCTTATGTGGGAGTGCGCATACATTATTGATTATCTGCGTTTAGGCGTGTTATTCTAAGGAGAAGTGGCCATCTTTTACACAATACCCTCATACATATTGTCTTCAGCACTTGATAGATAACATTGACTGGTGTTCGGCGTGATACAATATTTATAACGCAGTTTTCACGCCGAAAATCTCTAACAAAGAAATGTAGATTATTTCTGATCGTTTTTACTGCCTTTTGAAAATAATCCATGCGCAGTCAATGTATCTCTTAAGTTTTAGATTCAGTGTGAGTCGTTTTGGTCCCAACGCTTAGGAGTCAATCGGGCGTTTAGTAAACAATAATAACTTTTACAATAATTGCCCATGACTCCATATTCTACATTCCACAATTATAAAATGGAAAGCTAACGTTCAAAATGATGGCGTCATGATATGATAATTGGGAGCTTTGCTTGCTCGTAAGTTAGAGATATGTTAAATTCACAGTAGTGGAAAAGTAATACAATATTAGGAAATGAATACATATTGTGACGTTAACAACTACAAATGTAAAATAGAATAAGTTTATAAAGGAGAAAATAACACCAATGTTAAATACTGTCTATAGTTTACGCGAGTAGTACACATTAAAAAAAAACCCTTTAAAGGTTTAAAAACCGGTTTTTTTTTAAAACCTTTTTAAAAAATTTTTTTTCCCCCCCCCCCCGGGGTTTCCGTTTTTTGGGCGCCGCCGGGGGGCGGGGGGGGCCGGGGGGGGGGGGTCCCCCCGCGGCCCCGGGGAAGGCCGGCCCCCCCCCCCCCCCCCCCCCCCCCGGGGGGGGGGGGGGGGGGGCCCGGGGGGGGCCCCCCCCCCCCGGGGGCCAGGGGGTTTCCCGGGGGGGGGGGGAAACGGGGGGGCCCCCAAAAAAACAACCCCCCCCCCCCCCCCCCCCCCCCCCCCCCCCCGCCCCCCCCCGCCCCCCCCCCCCCCCCCCCCCCCCCCCCCCCCCCCCCTTCCCGGGGGGGGGGGGGTTTTTTTCTTTTCCCCCCTTTCCCCCCCCCCCCTCCCCCCCCCCCCCCCCCCCCCCCCCCCCCTCTCCCCCTTCTTCCCCTCTTTTTTTTTTTTTTTTTTTTTTTTTTTTTTTTTTTTTTTTTTTTTTTTTTTTTTTTTTTTTTTTTTTTTAACACCAATGTTACCATTACAATATTGGACATTTTACACAGATAAATGATTACTTACATATAATCGATAGAACCGGAATAGACATGGTGACAGTATTCGAAAAACACGAAAAAAGAGGTTGGCAAAATTTTAATATCGAACTGGTGCAAATGGAGTCTGTGTTAAAAAAAGGACAAGATGGCGGCACAGTTATAGAATGAAGGGTAGTTTTATGGCAAAGACAACTTTTATATTGATATTAAACAATTTTGGACTGTCAACATGTCTACAAGTGAAATCAGACTGCTTGGCAACCCACGAATGAGATTTTAAATACCAAGAAGTTAGTTGAACTTTTAACATTCGTTGTTGCAACCCACATTGTTACCATTCCGGTATATACATTAAACTAATTAGCTCTATAAAATGAAATGCATTTTTGCAGGACTTATCTAATGTTACCTTAGCTTACCTGTTTTCTTTTAGTATTATGATTAAATGTTTTTGGGGTGGGGATGCGAGTGGGGGTGATTTGGTGCATATGTCGTTTTACTTACGGATTGTACAAAAATGTAAATAAGTTTTTCTAAATTGTTTACGCTCTTTGAAGGATAATTTATACCAATATTAGCTATGTAAAAAACTTGCGCTTTCGTATCTAACTATAGCATTTAAACTTAAAATATATTATACAAATAATTTTAATTTTAACATATTGATGAACAATATCTATAAGAACGTAATAATAGCTAGTATAAAATATAACGAATTGAAAGGAAACGGATAAGAACAAAAAATTTTCTTATCTAATCTAGTTAGCATTAGCTAAGTTCCTAACTAGGCTTAAAACTAAATTATTGCCTTATACTTAACATGCTTCGTAAGAATACACGTAGATGTTGAAATAAAAAATTTAAAACGTATTTACAAGAATTCGCGGAAAAAAATGTACTCCAATACCTTTGGATTGTGTGTACATGATACAAAGATATTAGCGTACGGGACCTAACCTAGGTTTCTACTTATGTACAGTTCGCCTAGAGCAATATTATTTAATTTATGATTCGATAAATAAAACTGCTAAAAATTAAGCCTTGGGTATCTTTTCTACTCGATGTTAATATTGCAAAGAATAATTTAAGCATACTGATATCTTTTAATGTCCCAGAAACATAAGACATGACCTAGAATCAAGAGATCTAGATCTAGAGATAAATATCCAGAAATAGAAACGAAACTCTGATAATTATTCTATACTAGTATTTTTTATGTTTGTTTGTACATGCATAACTCACGAATACTGATAAGAATTGAGCAACTATTTTATGTGTTCGTTGGAGCGCGTACAGCTTATTCTAACTAAGCCTAGCTTATAGAATAATTAGGAGCTTAACTAAACTTAAGAGTAATGCAGAGATATACAATTTTGCCGTTGCAGGACGTTCCATCAACCGCAACCTTATTTACAAAATTCCAAAACTATTATTTTTATACACTACAGTTTCCTTGACATTTGTTAAAGGCGGTAATCGAATCCACGACACCCAATATTGGTGCCGGGCTACGGTACTTTGCTTTGTTGTTAAAATTTTCATCCATCATTCTATAATTTGAACATGAAAAGTTTCAAAAATAGAACGAATTTTCTATTTGAATTTTCTTTAATATTTTTGTATTTGTTGAATATTTCGATCGTCACTTGCTTTCTCGCGTCTATGTCAGCTTGTCAGCATAGGACTTGTTTCAATTTCTAATAATTTTGTGTTAATGCATAGATAAACTCAAATATTGATAAGCCGCGCGAGAGTTGCATATAGATACTGATATATTGAAAGAATTCGATGATCACGGACACGACGTGGTAGCTCAATTTGTAGAGCTTTTAGTGTGTTTCTTCCGCTATTTGCGCTATTAAAAAGGATACTGTATTGTATAAAGGGTGCGTTTATCCCTGCATTACTTATAATATTTAAAACATTATATTATTTACAGCTAATCATCATATTGCTTTAACTGAGAATGCACGCACCGGCACCTTAGTGGGCCGGCTAGGAAAAATATATATACATAACAAGGAACACTTTCCTTCTATATAGAACTCCATAAAGAATTACATCGCAATTTTCCATACGAGTAAGTCATTGACGAAGTTCGATCTAATAGAAAACTGTCCGTTATTATATTTATAACATAACACTATAATATGAATAGAGAACTGTCTGTGATAAATTATATCATGATAATGTTCGTTGCGGAAATACCTCGGCGGATACGAAGCGCAAGTTTAAAACACGGCCGTGAAACTTTTAATAGGAACATAAGAATGTTTTACGAGTGTGTTATTTGAGAGCACCAACATCTACCCGCTGACTCTGAAAGGACATATTATTTATTCTAACTTTTAATTGGAACACCGATCGTCAATTCACCGAGTCACGCTAGTTTTGGAGCTCGTTCACGTCTCTGAAACTTCTGAAAACAGTGAACATAACTGCACAATTCGTTTATGACATGAGCATAGCAACCATACGATGGAAGGTGTTTTAGCCCAATAAGATCTAATTATTGTGTGTTTGGACTTTCAGAAATCTTCAGATGGAAATCAAAACGCGGATTTATACTTAACTGCTTCTGGACTGTAGATTGCATCATCCCGACAGGTTTTTTAATGATAGAAATGATGGGAGCCTTCTTTTAATGCTTAGATTTACCACCGGATCTAACATGTTTGGAAAAATCAGAAACTTTTTTAACAAACATTTTAAGCCCGGTGAAAGTTGAAACTACTGGACCAATGAGGCCATCGGTAGAGCTCTTAAGACTCAACGTCACTCGGTAAATCAGATCACGCGCTAGTCAGATTATATACGTAACATCCAGACACTGACATATCTTAATACTACAAAGAATTTTGGATATCAATTACGATTAATTCGGCTTTCAATACAAATACGTCGTACAACATTTAAGGACTCAGTTAAATGAAAGTACTTAAGTCCAAAAGTGGACTACATACTAACGGTGGATTAATAAATATCTCTCTTGTAAATTCGACTCGTGTTCGTCCTCAAGTGCTGTACGATTCCTACGTTTCGTGCCTGGTTGAAGAAAACAAGAAGCACAGGTGGCAACTCTTGCCTAGGAAGTGTACTACCTCCGGAAATATATATCCTTAACGTTTAAAACAGGTTAAAAAAATAGGAGTTAGATTTGGATATATTACAGGTCGACACTGAGATGAATCTACGCTTGTGTAAATTCCTCGCAATGCCGACCTTCGAAATGAGTGCTACCAAGCAAATGTATGAACGAGGCGCAGTATACACTGAACGCGGCATCCTACATTATGTTGGTGTACCCGACGAGGGTAGCCGTAAAGGCGAAATAGTGGAAGATCGTGGGAGCGCTGGGCGAAGGGCGCCGGGGATAGCCGTGAAAACTTACGAGCTACAAATGTTGTAACAATAATGCCACTTCGCACTTTGAGCGCGTAGTGTACAATATTGTCAGTAACAATGCCGGTCACTGAGTTTCGATGACAATTTATCAACCTCAATGGCGCGTACGCTTTTGATATCTAAATCTCAGTGACCGGCGCAAGCGAAATATCGAATCAAATAATTAATATGACGTAAAGTCATCACGGTCAGCCACCAAGTACTATCCTTAGATGTCTTTATCCAATGATAACAGTAGAAATATAGTCACAGCCTGACATACAACTAATAATGGCAGTCAAGATGTAGCGGAGACAGTAGTCGGTGGCGAGTTAATGATTTCAAAATAAGAATGATGATTCACAACATATACAATAATTGCACATCGATATTTCGCAGTTCCTAATATAGTACTAGCCTACAGTAACTCCTATCTACTTGCTAACTCTACTTTTAGTTCTAATTGCTTGACTATGTAGCGTGGACCGTGTGAAGCGGGGATATGGTGGGAAGAAGATTCAAAAAGTTAGCAAGTAAACAGTACATTGCCAAGCGTCATGTTCACTAAAACATGCTCACCTAAAATTGATTATTAATACTGTTATTAATACTGCCCGATATCCTATCACAATTCTTATGCAGTCTGTTAGATTCGTAATATTGACGAGCCCCGGGCTTAAATGAAAGCTGTAAAGACTTCAAATGAAACTTAGGGTCTACACTAACATTTATGAATAGCTAGAAGCTCATACGAAACCGAGTTCGTTTTTTCAATTCGTCATTTCCGGCGGGATGCTCCGAGCTTAGATTTGTGAATTCTCCATTTGAAATTAGAATCGGTATTTGTAAATAGAAATTTCTGTGAACTAAAAATCTAATTTAGATGTTAGCAGGAAGATTTTAGAGCGCGTGAAGAGAACACCGATTCACAAATCTCTGAAAGACGTTATGTCGATCACTGATAATTACTAACAAATACCTAAAGCCATCATCACATTTCATATCCTTGAAGAATGATCGTTACATATTCTTACATTTGTGTTAATTGACACTTTTGAAGTTAATGTTCGTATCTTAGTTTTCCATAAATTTTCTGAATATTTTATAAATTGTAGAATAAATAGGGTGGCAAGTGTTTTCAAATGGAATAACAGGTCGAATATTGACCGAACCGTTCTAATTTAGTTAGCAAGATTCTGATATGAATCGCCTGTATTTCAAAATCACTTCCCAGCCTATTTACCCCTAAGTTACGTCGTCATTATAATGGGTCGTAAAATATTATTAGTTTCGTTGTATCGGTGGTTTATAGCCGTGAGTCATTCGTTCGAGGAAGCGGTGTAAGTCGTTAAAGCGCGGTCGTTGCATTGGTTCGCGCCGCCAGCATTCATGCATAAGATCGTATAACTCCCGTCGACATCGTGGTGGGGGGGCAGCAGGGACACGAGCCCCGCGGCCTCCACAGCGCCACTGACTCGCGTTTGCTACCACCTTTATGGAGAGAGGAGTTTTAAAATAAACGAAATTTATGGCTACAGTAGGGGGAAACAATATAACGCCAGAATGGCTGAAAAATCTTATACTATTTCTCCTTGATGTTATCGTGAAGTGCAGCATGTTTCAGAAAAATTATAAATTGAAAAATTAGAAAACATGTTGGACCTGGTGGGGATCGAACCCACGACCCTTGATCGCAATATTAGCCATACATTGCTACCATTAGACCAACCAACCCCTGCGACGAGCTTAATTGTGGAGTAACATTTTAGAGACTGTATAACCTTTTAGCATCATAACAGATTATAACTTACTTGGTCATCGTTCATTTCTTCGAAAGGTTTTGCTACACAGTATGTGAGGATTTCCCAAACGGTCACACCGAAGGACCAAACGTCGCTGGCTGGAGAGCACATACCCTGGAAGAAGTAAGTGGGTTACACCAGGACCAGGCAAATACGAGAATAAGAATGATGGGATGCAAATAGGAACAGGGTTTACCATAAGGAGACTCTCCCAAGCCATCCAACGAAGTGGTACTCGGGTACCATTCGCCATAATATGGTAGTCGCCGATAAATTCTTCACAAAACATTGCATAGTCGGATACTTTAATATGCAGGTCGTTTGTGACTGTCACGTTTCTGCAATCAACATTATTTTATTTATTTTAAAATATAAAATCTCATTTCATCACATACGTGGTAAACATATCTCTGTGTCCGTCTCTCTGTTCGATTAATATGCAAGTATTCAGACAGAAGAGTCAGTAACAAGATATAGTACTAATAATAGAAAGAGATTGAATTCTACAACATTACAATGTGACGTCAATGTACCTATATCTATGATGTAATTTTTTTCACCAATTCAAGACTTGACTGAGCTCAAGTAAAGAAGATGATCAACGAGCTTTAAGACGTTATCATTATCTATCGTTTGTTTTAGGCCGACAAATAAGCAACATTTATTATTTAATTGGGGTATATATTTTGAAAGTTTAAAGTAAAGAAATATTTAACATATTGTAAGTGTATGTAATAAGACAAAATCTCTAGCCCGGCAAATATGGATTTGTCATATGCAATATGTCTAGAAAATTTATTACAAGAAAAAACTAATTTAACTAAATTATTCTAAAATTATCTAAAACTAAATTATTGCGAACGTGGGGATGTAGCATATCAGTAAAAAGGGGTAAAAATGCAAAAACCTATTCTGAGTGCTAACGAATGTTCTACAAGAGAGATCTACGCACAAACATTGTGACTGCAGATTGCTTTGTATATTAGAACGAAATTTTACTATGTTTTTCAGTGCTCGAATCACGGACTTCTCGCGGGCAGAGCCATAGACGCGGCCTATATTATGTGTGTGTGTGTGTAAAGTGAAAATAAAATGTGGTTTAGTTTACCTTGCTGCGAGATCCCTGTGTACTAACTCGAATGACTCCAGATACTTCATGCCGTTCGCTATTTGGCAGCATATGTGTATCAAACTCGAATAACTGTAAAAGAACTCGATTTGAATATTCAAATTTAGAATAAGTGTCCAAAGGAGTCTTAGTTAGAATTGAAATTAAATTTAAAGTAAGTGTTCCAAAGGAATTCTTAGTAAGAATTGAACCTATATTTAAAATTAGAACTACTTTTCTAATTAACTGCTTTACACTTGTTAAAAAAATTTAATCATTAGATCATAATTATCAGAACATTTATATATATATATATCTCACTTCAATCTCCGTTCCGTCTTCAATATAGTCGTCAGAGGTACTGCATCGCCGCGGTCGAGTGCCGCGCATGGAGGCTCTAGGAGGCTCAGACCAAGAACCCTGGCTAGTTGTGGGTGCTTCAACCCAGCCCCCCATGTAGCTTCGCGGGCAAACGCCGCCCTGAACAACAGCACATAGTAAGTAGCTAAAAGGAAGCCGATCGGCATTATAGGGGGGCGCCTGAAGAGCATGGTGTGAACACATATCTATGTGCGTTTCATTTACCAATTTTAAGTACTGTCTGTAGTTTAAACGAGTAGTGCACATTTAAATTTTACAATTTTAACCGTTTAAAACGCTAAATATATTAGTTAACTTATTTTTAACTAATATATTAAGGACGAATCTTATCTTCCTCCCGGAACGGTTGCTGCATCCAGAACGTCGGATCATAGCTAAAATTACAAAATAAGTAAACTTATATATTTCGCGTTTTGATCCATTTTAATTAATTAAATAGAAGATCAGATTCATTATGCCCGACAGAAAAGACATGTTTATCTAGAAATCGAACCTAAGAGTGTTTGCACTCTACGAAATGCAGTATAAAAGCCATTATATAAATAAAAAAATATTTAGAATGAAAATTTAAGACACGGTCGGGAGAAGAACCTGCATTCACAGCGTTCCGTGCTGCTACTCTAACCAATTGAGCTACCGTGTCAATAATATAATAGTTAGAGCAAAAGCGAACGCGGAACGCTGTGGTCGTCAGTTCAAGTCCCACCCAATGGCGGATCCAGTTTTGGTGCCAGGAGGGGGTCACATAGGCGTGATCGAGTCAAGAAGGTTGATTTAGTTTTTAACAATAGATGCATGACCCTCCCTGGATCCGCCGGTGGTCCAACCACATGTGCAATAACACGTGAAGAATATGAAAGTTTTCAAAAGCCATTATTGCAATAATTGCGTTCATAATGACTTGTCATTTGAACAATCACACAAAGCAATATACATCGATGTGAAAAGAAAAAAAGTTCGCAACGACACGGTGAAATAGCTTTTAACTAGAATTTACATTCACTGGAATGAAGTTATTGCATGAAATGCTCTGATTTATATAAAATGTCGACTCTCTTGACATCGCAATGGGGTAAGCCAGAAGGTTTTTATGCGCGATTTTTACTTCGTGGTTGCGTGTTGCGGTCGTATTCAATTTTACATACTATTTGTGAAGGCTGTACGTCTATTGCTGAATGCCTTAAGTGACAAGAAAGGGAAGGTCTTATGCAACGTGTGACGTTCGTGAGAAATGCACTGACAACGAAATGTAATGCGTTAAGTTCTGAACGATTTTATGCATTCTATATTCAACGTATGGCCTAAAAATTTTCCGCTTACAGTTTTGTTTATAAAGCCTGTCACAAGATGGCAGCACTAGTAGGCGAAATATTCCCGTATTTAAAACTATATACACACTTAATACAAGAAAAGGCCTAAGTTAAATGTTAGAACAATGTATAGTCGGGTGTAGAAAATGTTTTCTATTATAAATAATTAACTGCCCCTTATATGCGATGCTACATTTTAAAATTCAAATAAGTGTTGCATTAATGATTAAATGTATACATAAAAATACACGATTATCTAATATTAAAACGTAGTAATTAGTATACATTTTAAACTTATAAATTCTGTAACCATCTCATGTACATACAATTAGAGTCCGTCTGTCTGTTTCAAAATATTACTGAAATCCAAACATAAGTCGATATTTTAAAATATTTATCAATTGTCTCAATTAATTTTGGTCTGCAAATAATAGAGATATCGCCAAAATCGTATTGAATCGGATCATCATTTTTGTCTTCGCGGTCTTTCACGGTCTTCTTACTCTAATGGTAGCTATACGCTAATACCCAACGGGGCGTGGATTCGATCTCCACCGAGTTCAATATGTTTTTAACCAATATATTTTTTTTCTGAAATTAGTTGGCCTCTCTCTAAAAATCTTAGTGGATTTCCGCATTTCAACCAGAAGTACATACAGGATGCATGTCGTTGAAATGCATCCAGTATTCCTATCTATAAAGTAAACCGCTATCATAAAAAAACGACAAGATTTATATAGAACAAAATTGGCCAATGAAAAAAATGTAGTTACCGATTGACAGTAATTTAAATATAACGTTATTTATAATCTGTGGTATGACGTATGACCCTTACTTGACATCGCTATGACAGCCGCGCCATAGTGTCTTCACGACGACAAGCCGGCGGCGGTCTCCATTCGGTAATTCCTCGTCGCTCAGTTCTTCTATACCATCCGTCTCGCAAATCTGGAGCTGGTGGAATCAAATACAGTACTTAAGACATCAGCACCACAACACCACTATACCACCACATTTGACATTAGTGTGGTGACATTTGAAATTGTCTTATGTACTTGTAACGCATTGTGTACTAATTTGCTAGGGTATGTTACGGCCATAAGGCCGAATTTGCACTTACTTTTTAAATAGCTTAGTTATTTAGTAATTCATTGTATTTTAAAAATCGCAAAATAAATTGAAAAAAATTACACGCGGGCAGGACTTGAACCGGTATCGTCAGCTTTCCGTCTTTTGGTATACCAATTAAGCTACGGAAAGTCCTGTACGTGCCGGTCTCAAGTCCAGAAACAGTCAAAAATCATTTTTCAATTTATTTTCGATTTTTAAATTATATAGTGCCTTCATGTGCAATTATAAAACATGTGAAAAATATTAATGTTTTCAATTCCTTGTATTTATATTAGTTTGTTATTACTGTTTTCCTTCTTTCTTTCAAATGTAATATTAAATTCTATAAAATAGGCTTAAACTCTTTAAGACGTCGAAGGCAAGGAAACTTAAAAAACAACCGTCCAACTCCGAGGAGCCATAACTTTCCCGTTAAACGGATGCTTAAGAGAATTAAAAGTATGATGGAATTAAAATTTACATTTTTATTCGCCGGCACGTGGAAACTTTCAGGGGGAAATAGTTCTTAAGCACGTAAACAGTAAGAGAACATCCTGTATATTTTGCGAAAGCCTACTTTGGCCCAGTTTCTAAGTTTACCGAGCGTGGAAAATGGCTTTTCGCCTAGCGGATATGCAGGCCTTGAGAAAACCTTCCCCAAAATATTATCCATTCTTTACAACGTTGTTATTTACAGGGTTTTAGCAATCGTTCGATACCTGTCTCGCTAACGTCAGGCGAGTTTAAAAATCTAGAACTAGAGTAAAGAATTTTCCTTCATAGATTCAAAAAATACTTACGAAGAGGCAATGCATACCCGCTTTCTGCCTATCTACCAATAGTAAATACAATAGGAATGTGTCGTGGGCCCTTAAGTAGCACAATTGCTTCCATAACGCTATGTTCTCTAAAACATTAGTTAAAAACTTTCTATACTTAACGCGTGTAGCGCACATTTGACGGTTTAAAAAGTGAAATGTATTCGTTAAACTTATTTAAATATAATTTAGGGACCGTAGTTAAACTAATTTGCAACTAAGTTTAACTAATACATTTCGCGTTAAGCCGTTAAAGGTGTTTTATTTAGAAAAAAAGTTATATTTGATTGAGTCCCTTTTACCATACGTGGGGTACGTAGGGTATATTAACAAGATAAATATTAAATACTGTCTATAGTTTACGCGAGTAGTAAACATTTAAATAAAACACTTTAACTTATTTGGAAATGATTTTTAATTTCGGCCCGACGTTCCGGATGCTTTGCAACAGCCGTGGGTCACAGCTTCTGCAAATCATTTTCAAATAAGTTTAACTAATATATCGCGTTTTAAACCGTTAAAGTGTTTTATTTAAAAGATAAATATTATCAATTAAATAGTATCAAACTTCCAGCCTTGTAACTTCTTGTTTCCGGAATTCGAACTGACGACGTTCCCCGTTAGAACTTGAAGACTGTCATATTTAGCAATTGGTGGAGCTAAATTAAAAGTAATATTTCACAAAATTCAAATAAAATATACAAACTTGGAATTAAAAAAATTCTATGCTATGCAAAGAAACAGGTCAGATTCGAAAACTTCTTGGCTTTAAAAACTGATATTCCCTTGTTCGATCTGGTCACATTTCGGTTAAAAGGATTGCCGGAAAACAATGAACGGGGAAAGCTTGAAAAATAATGGTATTATGGTAGCTATTGTTTACCCAGGTGTCGTACGTGTACAAGACAATATTGTAAGCAAACAGGTAAAACTTTCGTCTATAGAACGGCGAAACGATCGGATTGGTTTCAATAAAAAGTTAATTTGAAAAGTTTTTATTAGTTCGGATCGAAGCGCTTTGCTTAGCTCAATTTTGTTTCATTTAAATAAAACGCATTGGATATTAAAAGTCAAGATTTCACTTAATGGGTAACGCTGAGAAGCGTTATGGATACATTAATTATTGTAAAGATTTTTGATAAGATATTAATCTGAAAGAAGATTTCCTCCGTAAATGATCCAAAAAAACGTTAGCATCAGTATAATTATGTCTATCTTTTGAGACTAACTTGCAAGAACGAGACGCGACCTCACGATGTCGTGCGTAATAAGTTAAACTTATAATAATGACGAGAAGATTAGCAAAAACCAAATGTTGATGCCCAAAATAAATATTCTAGTCGGACGAAGTTTCTGACACAGCTAATAGTTATAAGATATAAGTGTTTCAATCCCGTTTCCCCCTCGTGGGACATGGGGCGAACACATTACTGCGTCCGTTTCACTGATCCCTTATTTTAACGGGCAAGTAGTTGATCAGACTTTCTGTGTTGTGTGAGGGGGGCCCTAGTCCGACCGGAACGGCTTTTTTTGGTTTGTTCCCCTGGGATTCGAATCTAGGACCTCGTGCATAACGCAATGCTAGGCAATAAATACGTTAAACCATTTGGCTACAGAGGCGGTCGGTTATACGATGAGCGTATTTAAATTTGCTTTCAATTGTTTGTCTGATTATAGAAATTGAATTCTTACGTTAAGTGTTAGCAATAAAACCACGAGATCAATCCGCAACAATAGACGTTTATAAGTTTTCATTTTAAAAGCTCAATATGAATCATCTCAATCGGTAAACAAGGGAAAAGAATCAAACGAGATTCCCCTAAGTTTTATTGCGAAGCGTGTTAGATTAGGTCAAGTACGATTGCGTTTAAGTTGGAGGGTAGAGAACGTTTTTTGTATTGATATTATGGCCATTGTTACCTGTAGTTAGGGGACAGTAGCAGTGGCCACGACTTCGGTCGCGTAGAGTTCTTTTGGGAAATTAGATGTAGGAAACCTCCTCCTTATCTTTATAAATAGCTATCACGTGGTTCTTGCAAGTTAATCTTAGAAGATAGAAAATATTGTCTGTCGAAATATATATTCTATCTTCTATCTATTATCGCAAAAATGTATATATAAGCTTCAACTAATTTCGTTACTATTCGGTATTCGGCCTATTATAAAGAAGTTTTTATATATCCGAATATCTGCATATATTCAGCTAATACTTAAGTTATGTTCTTTGTTATAGGAACTCGATAATAGTTTAAAATGAAAATAAATTAATATTTTCGTTCTCTCATAAACATTTTAGTAATTATTGGTAAATGACGTAGACACATTATCGTCTTCGATGTTAAGCTAGGATTATAACATGTATTTGGATTGTTTTTATAATCAAAATTTACATGGGGAAGGTTATAGAGCAAGAAGACAAAAATATTTGTTTAAACATGCAGTATGTTTAACTTTTGGAACTAAATTCACAGACCGAAATATTCGGCTATTCGGCTGACTCATGGGCCTTATCGAATATTCGGCATTCAGTATATTCTCGAATATACTACTTACATTGGCTGTTATTTACATCAGTAAAACAGATGTGTACTTATTTGCCCCTTTCTTCATACGGGACATGCACGTGCTTGAGTTATTTTGTAACCGATGACGTCATTGATATTAACAGAATTGCACTAACAATACTGAAATTGTATTTAATAGTGCCAGTTGACGTTGACTTCAAAGATGTCGCTTTACTCTAAGACGAGATTAACTTAACTTGAATTGCACTAAAGGATGTTCGTATTAAGGATAGTGCTCAGGCTTTGTAAAGGTAGAATTAAATTTAATTCCATAGTAAGCAATATATTATTTGACGAGCTCATTGATTTAATGGTTACAATGTATGTCGTAGATTCGATCCCCACCGGGTCTAACATTTTTCTAATCCATTTATAATTTTTCTGAAACACGTTGGACTTCGTTTGGATTTCGAAATATCAAAATTCCGTCCGTGTCACGAACGATCCACAAATGAAAAAGCCGGGAAGTTTAATCGCGTTTCGGTGTCAGTCTGTGGATTTCCGAATATCCAAATGCGAAATAGGTCGTCGGCGCACCTTGTTTAGATGCTATAGGCTGGGCTACTTCATCTACCATCAACCTCATGCGTGTCTGCCCTCCAACGTGACCCCAGAAACGCTACAGTTATTCCGATAACCTCTCGTTGAAATTAATTTGGTGCACATTAGTTTGCACCTCGAAAATATGACTAAAGTTTATAAACGTCGCAGGCCATTAGGGTGGCAGGCGGAGAGGGGGTGGGGGGGGGGTATGCCGGCAAATATTAGCACTGGGCAGATTGCATTTTGTTATTACGACCAGTAATCAATTTTTATGAGCATTTTCGTAGTTCAGTATACGGGCGCGGCGATATCTTGCCCAGTGCGACACGGCACGGACGTAAACTGGCCTCGACATAATTATGGAGTGAAACAGTGGAATTTAATTTTGTAAAATTCAATTTAGTCTAGTGAAGTTTCGATGGAATTTCACTTAGTAAGTATTGTTTCGAAGTGCGCTGCGTCTGTTGTAAACGTTGCAAATACTCGCGCGAAACTCGAGAATCAAATTAATTGAAAGGTCTTATTATAGCAACTGGATGAAGGCTAAATTCAATTAATGTTTTTAAACTGTTGCCAAATGATATTTGATTCGAAAACTTTTATCGTTTGAATTTTGAATTGTTTCGTGTAAATTTAGACGCTGCGTAAATCGTAATTATGAATTTACTACACAGGGTACTGGCAGACTCGTGTCAATATTATAGGCATGTAGATAATATTAGATACTAAAGGATAATAAGAAAGAAATATGAATAAATATAAAATGATGAATAGACAAATATCTCTCTTTATGTAACATAGTTTTGGGAAGATACCGTCACGTGTTAGAACTAAATTCAGACATTTATAATTAAGATGCACAGTTTGTTTGTTTGAATGCACTAATCGAGCAGGTTAATTGAAGGTTTTAGGCTAAATAATATCAAGCTGTGATCAATAGAAGTGAAAAAATAGCTGTAGTGGTCTTAGGTACTGTCCTGTAGACCTACCAAATTTTCACGTGTTAATAGGCAAAACGGCCTTACGTAGCGGTTTTTAGTTGACTTTAATCTTTCTTTAACTTTCAATCACGGATGTACGTGTACGTAGTCATGGGTAACTAGTAAGTTTCATGTTTTAAACCGTAAAAGTGGTTTACTGAAAAGTGGGGTACTAATAATGCATCATTCAGCTATAGTTTCGTTTAAATTACATTAGCTTAATACAAAACTAACTACAACTACAGCATCCGAAATGTCGGGCCGTAGCTAAAATAATTCGTGAAGCTTAACTAACAAATTTCACGTTTTAAACCGTTAAAAGTGATTTATTCAATTGTGGTTTGATAATGTTTCATTTAGCGATAGCTTCATCTAAATGGCATTAAGTTAATACAGAGCTAACTGGATGTTAATGAGAAGCTAGGAAAATTATAATCCGATATCTAGTCCTCGCCTGTCAAAGCCACGGGTAATTACAACCGGCCAGTTCGGCTTGTGGAGTTATCATTACAGTGATTTGATTGGCTTATGCAGCAGACAACACTCACAGATTATATGAAGCGCCGCTAATGGCGCAAATATAATTACTGTACCCACCGTAGTGACACTATCGATCAAGCTAGAATTCGATTATGTCGTGTGTTTTAGCCGGGCATAGTATCTATTAAAATGCAGATATATAACGATTCATTGTTAATACTCGCGAGGATTGTAGGGTAGATGAAAAATAATACTAGACACTATAATAATAATATACTTTTAATATAACTAGGTGTGCCCGCAACTTCGTCCGCGTGGAATACCTTTAATATTACTAGCTGTTTCAGGGATTTTAGCGTAACTATTCTACGGATTTGGGCATAAATTTTTTTGGAAACCTCCCTTTTAATCTTTACAAATTAAAGCTATTACCTACGACGTCGGTCGTGTCCCGTGCTTCTTTCGAGTTATTCTTAAAAAATAGAAATTTACTCTTGCGGACACTTTTTTATATCATTAAAAAATCCCGTTTCCCCTCGTGGGACATACGGCGAACACGTTTCGGTGGCCGTTTCTCGGATCGGTTTTATTTACAGGCAACTAGATGATCAGACTTCTGTGCCCTGCCCGACCGAAACAATTTACTGCTTCCCCGGGATTTGATTCCAGGACCTCTCACGCTTAACACAATGATAGGGAACATGCTTAACCATCTAGCTATAGAGGCGGTCGAGATCATTTAAAGAGAATATTTTTTTCAAACATATGTTTTGGCTCCTTGAATCGTTTATTTCATATTCTTCAACGTTACTTCGCTCCTATTGATCGCGGATTGATTTTATATAGATTGTATAATGAGATAAGCACGTTTCAACAAAGACACCTTTATAGTATTAGTATAAATTATTTACTGCCTAAATGTAAGTTTGACAAGTAAAATCTTTAATATTTTACATATTACACATGATGGCACTAAATAAATTAAAAATCGATTAAAAATTACGATTGTCCGAGTCGTAATTTTTTGCCTACACGACTTACAACTGGTTAGAGCAACAGCACGAATCGCTGTGGATGCCGGTTCGAGTCCTGCCCGAGTCGTAATTTTTTTTTAGTTATGTCAATTTTAACACAATTTGAGTTAAAATATAGAACGTAGTATTTACTTTCCTTGAGAATAAGTAAATAAGTAGGTATGTTTTAAATAATTTAGATTTAAATACTGTCTATAGTTTACGGAGAGTACACATTATTAACTAATATATCGCGTTTTAAACCGTTAAAGTGTTTTATTTAAATAATTTAGATTTCTTTGTACGTTACTGAAGCATTTTTATAATAACTATATTATTTTTAAATATACATCGTCAATACAGGCAAATGTTTACCAAGAAGCCCATCACAATAATATAGCTAGTATTAATTGCTTTTAACTAACTATGCTATAACAAACGTTGATGAGCAATACAATGGACAAACATGGCCTTAATCAAGCATTCCTTTGGACAAAAGCAATAATACGGAACCATTTTGGGAAATTTCATCACGGTCGTCTCTATTACCACCGGGTCCAACAATCCCAATCAATTTAAATAAAACACTTTAACGGTTTAAAACGAGAAATATATTAGTTTAATTTAATATATTAGTTAATATGGTCCAAGCGCTTGTTGTAATGAATGTCACGAAACACGCCCAATTAACATGATGTTCAAATATTGTCTGCAGATGTCTGTAGTACACGCTTATATAAAACACTCTAACGGTTTAAAACGGAAGATATACTCTTAAAATATATTAACTCCAAATACTCAGACCATGGGCTGCTGCAAAGTTAATAGAAACGACGGAGCCGTAGTTAAAATAAATTGTAAATGAGTTAACTAATATATTTTGCGTTTTAAGCCGTTAAAAGTGTTTTATAACCTCATGTAACCGACACACAATACGTAACATACTGAAAGACCAGACATTAATATATATAGACATTGTAAATGTAATATTGTAAAATATTTTATTGTATAAATTTGAGCATATTTCTATAGATAATATTTACAGATTCCGAGAGTGTATCGCTTATACAAATCCCAATATTCAAATACAATCAAATGCAAACACACGAGCGGTACACTCAACTGCCTTTCATAAATTACTATACGAAAATAGAGAGAGGAAAAGAGTACAGTTGCGGTGAAAAGAACAAATTCAATTAGGACAACAAACATTTCCCGGCACGTTTGTTATGTTCTGCTGGGGTACAAAGCCCACTCGCTCATCCCATCTTGGCTCAACCAAACACCTAAAGGTAACCTTTTATACCACTACACTGTTACAAAACGTTACTTCAACGTTTTGTTAATTTATTTCTTTATATTGAGAAGTTAAAACTAGAACTCATGTTATTATAATATCAAATTTGTGGTGTTATAATAGTAAAGTTGTAGAATATTAAAAAAAAATGGCTTTTAAATTTTTTTTTTTTTTTAGACGTATTAAAAATTTAAGTATAAGTTTTCTTAGTAAGTAAATATATATAAAATAAATACAATAAAATATACTTTATTCTCTATAAAATTATAAAAAATACTTTAGTCTCTCTCTCTAATACTCTAATCGCTTTAGTTAATTTTTTTCGATCTGTTTGAAAATTATTATATTCTAAGTAGTAGGTGTTATCAAATTTGAAAAGATAGTGTAATTTTTTTTAACTAAAAACTTTGAATTAAATTGCTCTATTTATATATTTTTAACTTCTCATAGGATTCTATTAATTTAATTAATCTAGGAATTATTCTATTTAAATGCACTTTTAGCTGTTACATTGAGCAAAAGCGTTTTGTTATCTAATAGATAGTATTATAAGTATTGCCGTGTGCTGACTGCTAGTTTAGTAGAAACGTGTCGAAGCAATTTCCTACGCTTATAAAAGGAAGTAGGTAAACTTTTTAGTACTGCTTTAATGCCAGAAACCTTAAGTTTGGTGACCCCTGGCCTTTGTAAATTTTGTAATAATAGCAAATATTTAATGTGTGAAATTTAATAGTTGATACTCACTGAATTCCAAATTTAAAAAAACCTTTTAAAACGTTTATCTTTATGTTATCCTATCTTGATTGATACATTAAGACATCAATTAATGTTAGTTGCATTGATTACGTTTTTTAAATTGAAGTAATATAATAGTAAATAATAATTAAATTTGTTTACAATAAAATTAAATAACGTTATGCTACCTTTTTAAATGCTTAGTAGAAGAATAATTTCATATCTTCTGTTTTTAAAACCATTACAAAATTTGAATCATGTCAACATGAGCTTATCTGTCATCTAGCTGCTATAAAATCATGTAATAGCCCGGTGCAATATTTTCTTCCAAATAAAATAAAATTGTCAGTAACCCAATAACAATGGAAGACTTCATACAAAGCATTAAACAAAAATTCTCCATGGAGAATATTATTGAAACTATAAGAGACGGTAATTATATCATTGTGCGGTTCGATTGAACGCGGTTTTCGCGGGCTCAACTTAATTGGACACTGCACCTGGTCTCCCGTTAATGGAGGTTTGGCTGTAACTTGGAAGCACGCGTTTGTCATTTACACAAAATTATATAATCTGCTATACCTCAATCCTATTTAGATAACGCGTTTATTTAGGCCATACATTAATAATGTTAACTTAACACGTAAACTATTGACTAAGTAAGTTTAACAATTTACTGAATTTACTACTTCTGAAATTTCAGAACTAGATGATACCAAAAAGCCAAAAATTGAGGAAACAAAAGTGGACGACAAACAACACTCTACAAAAGAGCCTGATGCACTACTGAACATTAAACAATCCGTAGAGAACTTCATGGAGAAAGAACCCAGGATACCAGTGGAACCGAAGAGTGAGGAGCTGAAGAAGCCATCAAACATACAAAAGAAGCAGCCTTCAAATGTCGGGATGAACATATTGCAGAAACCAAACCCACCGGAAGAGGTCAACGACCCGTACCGCGATAACGAAAATCTTTTCAGCTTTTGCGATTAAATTAATGGTTTCATAAAGGCATTCTTATAAAAGTGGGCTCTACGATTTATAATTACGGTTTGTTACTGGCATGTTGCCGACATGACTGCAATTTTGATAAGCGTTTCGTTTACTCACACATATTGTGAATTGAGGTCATTTTGGTTGGGGAGAAAAAATTTATGGGAGCGGTACTGTGTTTACGGACCTTAATATTCCACTGCGTCCCTTAATTGAAGAAAAATGACTTGACAACCCCTCATTTTACTTGAGTAACTCTAAGTACTATCGATTAACTACCGATGTTTTATTGCAGTGCGTATTGATTTAGTAGTAGGTGAGCATTAACTTCTGCTAGTAGAAATTCTACAATAGTCAATTGTTTATCTACCCCCCCCCCCCATAATTAACTCATGCGGTCATGCGATTTAAAGAGGCTCAAACTCTGAAGTCAAGCGTTAAAGCAAATGATAATATACTAAGAAAATATATTTTATATTTCAGTTAGGCTCCTCTGGCTGGTTAATGTTTCAATTATGGAGATTGCTTATTTTGATAAGGGCCAAGTGCCAGTTGGTTTCACACTTAGCTTACTAGGTACAATAATAGTTTTTTTTTATTAACGAAGTCTCTTAAATGGTGCGTTGCGACGTATAGGACAAACGTTGCTTTTTACAATTTGTAGCTAAAGCGCAGTTTTTGAGTAGCAACCTGGTGACAGACAGACTAACAACGAAGCGTTCTTAATACTCTCCGTGATATAGGTATATAGAAAAGTTAACCGTGACTCGTATTCTCAAATGTGAGTTGAAGTGACTTGAATTATGGAAGCATATCATTCACCATGAGAGTAATATCACAGTAATATGAAGTATCTCGTGTTCAGTTCTTAATTGGTAACCTAATCCTATTGTACCCTGCAAGCGTATGCTAATGCTTTATGTAAAACATCCCTCTCATTGAAAGATGTGCAATTTAATATGAACCCCTTAATGTTGTTGATGCTTCTGCGTAAGTAATGGAGGATACGTGTACTCGAATGGGAGAATTATTAAGCACTCGAAAATAAAACATGATGACGTAGGCAAGTAAAAATTTTGACCAAGAAATATTTAAGATCGAAAACAAGACACACGGTATTTCAACCCATGGACGTAACTGTCCTTAATCTTAAATATAATTTGTGATTAGCTCTCGAAATTCCAACTACAAAATATAATAAAAATAGAATAGAATATACTAATAATAAAACGCTTTATTGAAAAAACAGGAAAATTATTCAATATTATTAAGTAGCGTATTTACATAGTGCAAAGGCGGTCTTACTGCCTATGGCGATATCTTCTACACAACCTTTGTTTACACAAGATAAAGGAATTCAACGAGACAGGACAATGTCAGAAGACAGGAGAAACAGTAAAATCCACATGATACGTGGAAATATGCAATAAATCCTAAGAATAATAATATAAATTTATAATATGGATTATTATAAAGCACAAAGATGTTCGAAAGCAATCTTCCTGGTTTCTGTATATTTATACAACACTTGTATATATTAGAACAAATTGATTCACACAAATATTCCTCGTCAAGTCTAGAAGAGAACGGTCAACTAGTGTATACTTTTAAATAATGTAGTGTATACTTCATCATAAGTACCCGTTGAAAATTTTCATTTAACTCGATCTGGCGCACAAAGGCGTCACGCGGTGATCAAAAGATTGCAGTTGACTAGTAATTTTGGCTTTATCACCCTTTCAAAAAGGGTCCAGCGTCTCTTGCCTTGGCAGGTGAAATTATGTGATGACATTTTTGCTGACGATGTTGTATAATCGTTAGTTCATTCTTTGCCTAATTTAAATTGAGGCCGCTAGAGCCAGAGTGGCCTAATAAAAAGCATGCGTTTCAATAAGGACGAAATTAAATTGGGCAAAACTGAATTTGTACTAGCTTTGTAAGAATCATGTTAACAATTTTCGGTGACTGTGTCTAAAAATATAAGACAAGTGATAAAATTGCAGTTAGGTCACTCTGGCTCTAGCGGCCTCAATTAGGAAATCGTTTCAAAGGCAACTCGTGTAGAGTTGCCTTTTATTATTGTTCATTAGAGCGTTACTATAAATTTTATAAAAGGAACATTGAATAGATAAGTGATGGTACGTCATTCGAGTTCGACTCCCGCCTGTGTAATTTTATAAATATTGCATACTTACAGTGCCATGTGGTCCCTCGCCCAGGAAAGTAACTGGTCGCATGCGCCCCCGCGGAAAATCCAGCAGGGGCGCCACTCCGTTTGGGGGCTCGGCTTCAGGTAATTTTATCGAGGTGAACAGCCCCGGCGGGGGACGCTCGCGGCGATTTATCCGCTCGTCCGGGTAAGTCTGCAATTTGAAAATTTGTTAAATCTGACATCCCTCGCTTGCGTGCGGCTGACGTATTTAGTACGTTAACAAATGTTGGATAAAAGACAGATTTGTCAGGGGAGCTGTGTAGGTATGAGCAGGTCTGAGCATTATTTGGTGAAACAAAAAAGATGCGCCTGCGACCATTTTGGTTTTGGATATTCAGAAATACATAAAGTGAAACCAAAACGCGACACGGACGGAAATTCGATTTGCCTACCGACCATTTAATATCCAGATTTCCGGAAAAAAATATAAATTGATTAGAAAAATGTTGGACCCAATGGGGACTGACCCCCGACCCATTGAGGTCTATCGTGGCATAATTGAGTACCACGTGGAAACGGGGTATTACCAACTTTGGTACCATAAGGCCGATAGCACGAAATGCGCCGTGGGTTCAAATTTGGTCGGTTTCCTCGCTTTTAACATAATCGATTTTTAATGTTCCTTTAAACGCCATGGAAAATAACAATTAAGACATAATTGACATCTTTCATTGCTGTCTCTACTACAATAAAGATATATGGAGATAGTGCACTAATGGACTTTCTAAGTAAGAAATTGTTAGGCCCGTTCCTTTTACGTCGCTCTACTTAGACTATACAAGGGAATGAGACATAATTCGTTTCTTCTTTTGTGGAATGTGGAATGCTTTAGCAGATCCGCGAATGGCACATTAAACGCTATACGTTAAATATTTAACCGTACTTTAAAATTTATAAATATATTTCCCGTTTTAAACCGTTAAAATTGTTCCATACTGTCTGCAGTTTACGCGAGTACTACACATTAGAATTTAAAACACTTTGACGGTTTAAAACGTGATATATAATTGGTAAACAAGTTATTTGTATAAAGAATAAGTTAAATTTATATATGTACTATCGGCTCGTCCCGGCTTCGCACGGGTAGACATAAATAGGTACAGATATTAAAATTATAAGCATGCTAATTAAAACGACCATGAATCACTAAATTACAAAAAAAAATTGTAATATTAAATGTCGTTCGCGCCCACTGCGTAAGAAGCCCACTGCCTCTATCGTCGAATTAGTTACTCAATGCGCGGCGTGGCGGCCGCCGCCGGCATGTATTTTTTTTAAATATTATGCTATCTTTTGAATGGAATATCCGATTTCAATAATTAAAAAAGGAATCATCAGGTATTGAGACGGTCTTGAATATTAAATTATTTATTTGGATAAAAATTTACAAACCTGTTATGGATAACACGGTCTGATTAAAAAGTAGTAATAGCGACGTAACTACAATAGTTAGACATATGCTCTCGGGATATTTTTTGTAGATATTGATATATTCTATGATATTGTCGAACATTTCCTATCATTAATAGTTTTCGCAGCGTATGCGAAGAAAGACATTTTACGGCTAATTTTTTTGCGTCTTCCGTTGGTTTTAGTAAGACATTTCTATAGATGCCTATAGTAATCAAGTACTAAATATAGCCTATGTTACTCAGTGATAATGTAGCTTTCTAATGAAAAAATAATTATTAAAATCGGTTCAGTACTTTTTGAGTTTACCCGTTACATACAAAAATACAAATCTTTCCTCTTTGTAATATTAGTATAGATATATATTTATTGCGTTTTAAACCGTTTAAGTGTTTTGTTCCATTTATAGTGAAGAGTGTGTTTCTTGAAACACGTCACCAATATATTTCTTCCGCGGGTGTTGGGACAATGAATGATAATCAACGGGTGCTCATTTCCATCAAACTATGCAACACCAAATGCAATTTTCTGAAACATAATACACTATTATAAGAAACTCTATGGTATGAAATAGGTGGTAGAATTGAAGTTGAGGCGTCCAATATCCATGTCAACTAGTACTAAATGTCCAAAATCAACATAGGACGACAGCGCACCTCGTTTAGGTGTTATATTGGTGCGTCATTTTCATACTGATTGCTTTTGAACCTGTGAGAAGGGTAGTTTATAACAGACGTAGCTAATTAACTTATAATATAGACACACATAGGGCATACAATCTAATTATCTTTGAGTACGAGAAACCAGAAACCCTACCAAGTAATATATCTGTGCCTACCTAAGGAGTATCTAGGACATGTCTCTAATAGAATTTGCAGTTACATACAGAAATATAACATACATGAGCAATCAATGTATACTCTATACTTGAAAATTTCCTCGAATAATGGTTATCGATTGATAACAATTTGAAAATGGGAATGTATTGCAAGGTATACCATTGTTTGTCGTTTTCATTATAAAAACATGTCTGCATAAGTTTTATAAAATCTGCACAATTTAAACATAAACTATCACACACTCTACATACAAATATGTGGAAAATTTACAATGATTAATTCTGTTATCGGTATATTATCTACAGGTTTCTTTAGATACTTAACATTCGCCCTTTAATATCAGAGCTGGTAAAATGTTGGTTCTTTCAGGTCCATTAGTCAATTAAGTACAGTTCGTAACGAAAACGACTTATTACGTCTACAGCAACAAGCCGGGCAGTTTTTGCCGCTGATATTAAACTGATAATATCCCTCACAATTTTACAGAGCTCGACCGGTTTTTCTTCGGTTTAGGCGAACAATTCGGCTTCGATTAGAAAAGGATAAGCCGAAGGTCTCTAAAAGAATGTCATCAGCAAAAGCTATTGTAACGAAATAGTTTTTCATTTATAATTTGAATAGAGTAAGGTTAATATATTTATTTTTATAGTTTAATATAAACTACATATTTTAGTGATTGGCACTGATAAACCTATACTGATATATAAAGCTGAAGAGTTTTTTTGTTTGGACGCGATAATCTTATGAACTACTGGTTAGAATTAGAAATACATTCTCAAGTCAAACTAGACTAATGGGAGCGAGAACAGCGAACAACGGGAAGTGTGATAAAAACGGATATAATTATTCATCTTAGTGGGTTTCCGCTGCGCACGCTGCGAAAACGGTTCAATATACCCAAAAAATACGTAAGAAAGAATGAATCGTATTTAAATGATCTAAAAAAATGTCCACGACAAAATTTGTATATCTTTAACCATTAACTTGTAAGAACGACGTTACATTACTTAACAGTTTAAATTTTATAAATATGAGAAGAGGTGGCAAAAACTAATTTGGATGCCCTAAATCAACTATTCTACGCGGACGAAATCGCTGACACGGCCCAGTATTATTAAATTTGTTAATCCAATGAGCATTCGGCTTCGGTTAAGAATCGACGTTCGGACACTTCTATATTGCGCTGCAATAACCCAGTTTCAGAATAATAGCTACCTATTCTATCCAAGTCCCAAGACTGAACCAATAATTTATAGTGCAATGACTTATTGTCGCAAATAAATTACTGCGTAAAGCTAACCAAGCTGTTTATATAAATTACAAGCTTTTATCGCTGTTACTTGTCGTTATCGTTATCCAACACAAGTAATAGAGTAATTTTCCAACAAATTTTTTTTATAACAGTAATTTTTCACTATATATGGATAAATGACAGATACATGTTTCATTAATAGATTAGTTAAAATATTATAGAATATGACTAGGATTACGTACAATCACGGACAATGCATGCACCTACATAGCTTAGATTTACGCCATTTTTTTTATGATAGAGGAATACGGACAAGTAAGGGGTGTAAGGCTAAATACCCCGGCTAAATAACATCTAAAAAAAGATGTGCTATCGCCCTATTTCGGCTGTGGATATTGGTCATTACGTGCTTTTGAGAACCTTTGTCTACGCCAACTGTATTGAACTATAACGTGAAGAGGTACTCATTGAATATATAACCCACCAAACCGCAGTAGCCTGGTGTATTTTAACATATTCTCTTCTAGGAGCTCTACAGCATAAATAGCTCGAAATGAAAACCACTAGAGAATAATTTTCATATGAACTTTACGTTGAATAAATTTAGAAATAGGTTGAAATTGTTTCGGAATTAGTTAAGAAAAACAAAACACGCGCGAAATGTAAAATACACACATCCCAATGTTCGCTTGAAACGTAAAAACACACGAAATGGTAAACAATTTAGGCAATTTAACAGCGGTTGGCTTACGTGTAAGCGTTACAAAGCTGTGATAAAACATTAACAAAACGGACGGGCAAGTCGCTGCTCTCATAATGCCGTCCTTAACTCATTTATCATTTCCCAAACAGCCGCATAATACCCCTAATGAGTAAAATCCAAGCATACCTTAGGCAATACCATTAATTTTGCGAGCCCCGGCCTTTCCCTTAACAGATACCTACACAATAGTTTAAAGTACATTTACCTCATTCCGCGGCTTCCATTTAGATTCGGAGAACGTTTCCGCGTTCGGCAGATACTTGCTTATATTTAGATTTTTTTTTCAAATAGGGGGTAATTTAATGGCGAGGGTTGAAATATTTAAAATGTCGGTAGTTTGGAATTTCAATTGGATGCGCACGTTCGAAATTTAAATTAAACTTATGATAAATTACCTCTTTGGTCGCCATGTTGTGGAGTAGAAGATCGTTCTATTTTTAAAATAAACGACACGTATTAATGCATCTGGCCGCTAACACGACAGGTATGGATTTTCATACAACTAACTATTGCCGACCGCTTCTCGTCCAGTACAGCAAGTTCGATTTATCTCGAAGAAGGTTGTCAAAATAATTCTCAACTTCCAAGCATGTTTCATATAACATTATTAGACTAATTACTCCGTTTTTTTTTTATGATAGGTTTACTTAATAGTAGGTGATATCAACCAGCCTATAGCATCGAAACAATACGTTATTCGGAAAAGTAGTTATCATTCGACCGACAATAAATGATATTTGTACACCTAAAACGTACTGTTAGCACAAAGTTCAATAAACTCAAACAATTATCATTAGCTATTCAAATAGTTGCGAAATAACGAATACAGAGAAGTCAAACAGTACGAGTAACATCTCGTGCAAAGCAAACGTAAATTCTTGCTCAGAACGGCTAAATATTTAATATTTCCGCTTTCATAACGATGTCACTAAACTTCTTATCCGTTTTGATATAATTAAAACTAAACGAGCGGCAAACTTGTGTCGGAAACTGCAACAGCATTGCGAACATGCTTTTAATGTGGTTAGGCGCATTGAGAATGCTTTATGACCCTAAAACTATAACTTTTCGAGTCCATGGCAGTTATGTGAAACAATTTATTTATAAACTTCGCTCTCACCGGTTATTTAATTGATAGAACAGGATTTTAATTGTTTCACGGACTCATTCCTATATTATCAGCACGGTACAGTAATCAATTCTACAGATCTATACTAATATTATAAAGCTGTAGAGTAAGTTTGATTGCACGCACTAATCCCAGGAACTACTGGAACA